ACAATTCTTCGAGCTCATTAATACTACATTCAGATTTATTTAATTCACTTTCGATTTTCTTAAATAGTTTTGTAACGGCAGTTCTTAAGATACTTCTTTTCTTTTTTAATTTATCTACTTCAGCCATTATCTTTCTTAGATTCAAACATTTACAAAAAAAAAAAAAAAAATATACGTCTCATGAAAAACAAATATTTAACTCTTACTTAGAAAACAAAAATTATTCTTTTGCTGAATACTTCAAGAACAAGTATTAAAATCTTCAATTTTAATATTCAGCTTTTGAATTCACTTTATTAGAACTTTTCAAAAAACCTGGCGTCCCTGTTCGGGCGCCATAAAAATGTTGCATCAGGTTCTTCTATTTACAATAAAATTAATGTAAAATTCCTTACCTGCTGCATCTCTTCAGTGTTCTCGACGCCAGGCTTCTAATAATCACGTTTTCCAGTAAGAGTTTCTATTACAATTAGCAGGCCATCTTGTCTTTTAATTATTTATTGAAAGAAAACGCTAATATACACTATTTACAAGGTAGGTGATAATTATTTTAAGACAGTACATTTTTAACTTCTGAGTCTTTACGCTCCTCAAGCGGTTCCAATCTCGACTGGTTCTCGAAACTTAATTACAGCAAAAGTAAAGGAAGAGATGCCCGCCATCTAGTGGCAAGAATGTGACAACTATCATTGATTCAGTGAATGCCGCTGGCGGTGGATTGTAGATTGTTTTCCGTCGCATGGACATATAACACTGATTGGTGTAGAACCTTAGGTCGGAGGTCCATGCGACTGCGTATCAGTATCTTATATTTTCAAACATTACAAAACTATAAATATCAGTTGTGCGTTTTGTTAGATGTAACAGCTTTAAATAAGGAAATGAAAAATTTGAGATGAGTTCTGAAGCACGCAAAGATCAATCCTTATCGGCTCGTAAGAAATTTTCTTCATTGTCAGTATTTTAGTGAGGCATAGCAAATTAAATTTTTAACTTTCGCTTGTGTAGCTGAAGTTATCATAAGTAAATTCTTTCTTTCTTTGCTAAAGACCTTAGAGAAATTGGTTCATAACAGTGATAAATTTGCCCTAAAGGTAATGTAAAAATTATGCGCCTGAAAGTTCATTCGCATGAGGGAAAGAAATGGAGACTTCAGCAGGTGTATAAAAACTGAATTTTGCTATTTAGTAAAACCGAATTTTAAAATATCTATAAGTCAATTACTTCTTTATATTATAAGGTATTTTCTTCCTCCTTCTCGCATGCCTTCGTGTTGCAACGGTAGCACATCAGCGCATTCGAGAGGTCCAGGTTCGAGTCCCGGCGAGGGAGCTGCTCATTTTTCACGTCTTCTGCTTTAAAAAAAAAACAACAACTAATGACTCTACAGTAGAGCCCGAATTATAAGGTGGTGGACAATAATTCCCATTACCAGATTTGTTGATTGAATCCTCTAATACCCAGCCACCCTTAAAAGGGGGAGTATACAAGGTATTTTCTCCCTCCTTTCCGCATGCTTTGGTGGTTTAATTGGGAGCATAATCGACGTGCATGCGAGAGGTCAAGAGTTCGAGTCCCGGCAAGGACACTACACACTTTTTATGTCTTCATCTTCACAAAAACCCTAACGACTCTACAGTATATGCTGTTCAGTCGGAAACAATATCGCACAAATATTTGTTTCGAAAATTCAAAAGATTTAATGATATCTCGAATAAAATTGTTCTTATAAGAATGTTTTCTTCATTGATCTAATTTCAGAGTGAATAATACTTTTCTGTTTGACACTTTTTTCCGTATGAAAACCTTAATTTTGTATGATTTTGCTAAAAGCTGTTTCGCGACCAAACAAGTTTCAGTCTGACAGGCCTCTTTGTTTGTTTCATTTAATAAAATCAGAGCATGAATCTATGCCAGTGTTTCCAGCTGTGTTTGGCAGTGCACTGCATTGGTTTTGGAAAATTGGTTTATATCGGCATAACGTGGAAACGATAGAAAGCCAAAATAGTATGATACATAAACAGAAGAAAAATGCTTACATTTGACTTCGATTAATAACTTTCATTTAACAAATGCTTTTATCGGGAGATATTAATCAGTGTGTGTAAAATTTTATTAATATGAATGGTGCAAAAACTCAATTTTAATTTTTCCCATTTTCCTTGTAAAATGGAATTCTTTCCTTTCTACATACTCACGTTCGGCTACGGGTAATAAGATACTCCCCACTGATAAGCACTATAACGATAATCAATTAAAATGTTATAATAGGAGTTTTTCTTTAATTTTGGTATGTAGCGTCCGTGTGTAACTTGTTAATAAATTATTGCTACACCATAAACAACTCTTCAATGACCCCAACCAAAACGATCCCCCTCATAGGTCTTAAAACGATACCTCTTATTTTTTTAACAAATGAGATTAATATTAAAAAATAATTTATACATAGTGCTCTTTGACAGCGCATTTATATATTTAAAAGTATTTCCTTTGTACATGTTGAGAAAATTTATTTTTATCTTGAACTTAAATAAATATCGTACCTGGAATTAAGTGTTTAATCCTTCAATAAAATTTAAACCATTAATTAAATTAACCTAATGAAAAATTGAAAATAATCTTCAAGGTACATGTCCGTTTTACATATTTAATAAATTTATTGGATGTCTTTCATGTATTATTTTGACACCTAAGGAATTAGACAGTCCAGAAATCCTTAATTATTTCAACTTTACAAGTAAATATTTGCATTCGAAAGTTTAGTTTCGTCACAAAAGCACTCAAAACAAATATAGAATGCATCGAACTAGATGCTTTTAGCGAAAGACCTTTTGTCCAATGGTGACCAGAAATAAATTCCCATCGCTTTGAAAGCCCGTAATATTGAAAGCCAATGACAGAAAATGGAAGTCTAATCGTAGGATATTTATTTTAATACCTAACTTTTGTAATTAAATGCTAGGAACTGGGCCAGACTAATAATAAATTTGTGGCCAGAAGATCATTTGTGCAGTACAGAAGAAATTAGCATAACGATTTCAATTCCAAACTTTAATTTATGTAATTTGTAAACAATTATTCAGCTACAGTTAAAGTCCATAATTTAGTTTCCTAAAATACACAGTCACATAATCGATAGATTTGCATTGGCAACTAAGTGATTGCGGATTTTGTCGGTAGATGGTTCTAGTGCATTTTGTTGTTTTGTTAGCGTGTTCAAATCACCTAGCTTATATTGTTTTCTTGTCGTTTGGACAAGATTAATAATTTAATTGCCTATTAATCAATGGTTATTAATTAATAGTCAATAATTAATAATAACAATTAATTGTTGACTATGAATTAATTTAATTAATAATAAAAATTTAGCGATTAGTTAATAATAAAATTTTTATCGATTCATAATTAATTAAAGTGATAGCAATTATTTTATCGATTAATTAATAATAAAAATTAATTATAAAACTTTATCGATTAGTAACGATAAAATTTAATTAATAATAAAATTTATGAATGATAAAATAATAAATAATTTCATATTAATTAATAATAACAATTTCACTGATTACCTAAAAAACTAATTTAATTAATGATAAATTAATAATAAAAATTTTATCGATTTGTTATTTAGTTCCGTATTTTTCCCAATTTAAAAACGGAACAGCAAAACGCGCATTTCTGACATATTTTAATGTATTATTTACGAAACGGCAGGAAAACATCGCAAGTATACACGAAGTTATGTACCTTATATGGGAATGATACCTTGAAAGGCAGTGTCTAGTTAAACTTAATGAGTATCGTCTAGTTAAACTTAATGAGAGACATATCAAGGCCAATATCGTTTGAGATAATCACAGCACAATTTGTGAGATTCTACAGAACCTCTTTATCGCACACATGCATTAAAAAATTTAAAGCAACTTGGCTGTGCTAACAAACTCGATTTACGAGGAATTATGCACATTTATGCATATGCTAAAGTGCTGCATCAACTTAAGAAAATTTGATGTAGCGCATTAACATATGCAACTCACTTCTGAACAGCAATCAAATTGATCCATTTCTGAAGCTACTGATTCCTTGCGATGAAAAGTGGATAGATTTTGAAAAAGATCATGGGTAAAACAGGGTGAACCAGCCCAAAGACCATCAAAATCTGCACTCACCAAAAAATGACTAGGCTATTAGTTTGGTGGGATTAGAAAGGAATTCTTTATTTTGAACTTTTACCAATAAACCAAACGCTTAATTCAAACATCTGCGTTCAACAGTTTACCGAAGCTGAGCAATGCAGATCAAGAAAATCGACAAGAATTGGTAAATCCTTAGGATATTGTTTTCTAACATGATAATGCAAAGCCCCACACATTTTTAGGCACTCGCCGAAAATTGTTAGAAGTAGGTTCGGACATGTTGTCACCTCAACTACATAGCCCTGACCTGGCGCCTTCCGAATTTAATTTACTTCGTTCCATGCAGAATTCCTTAAATGGCAAAATTTTAACGGCACACATAATGCAAAATCTTATTTAATTTACTTTTTTGCTGACAAAACTCAAAAGTTTTATGAACATGGAATTATGACATTGTCTGAAAAATGGGAACAAAAAAAAAATCATTGGCGAAAATGGACAATACCTAAGTTATGTTTTTAATTAGAAGTTTTGAGTTTTCTTTCTTATTTAAAATTCGCAATCACTTAATTGCAAATCCAATACATCATTCTTGATGTTATGGAAAAATTATACCTTTGATGTTATTATATTTTGTTGAGTATTGTGGCAAGAGATCATGAGTTAAATAATATTTTTTTACCCCTTCTTACAGAAATCTCTGGTTTGCTGTGCTAAAATTATTTTATATTATTTAAACGTTATCTACGCTTGACCGATATATGTGTTGTCTTGAATGGAGAGCCGTTTTATTAGTTGATAATTTGAAATTTAGATTATTTACGCACTTTCAAATCAGAAACACTCTAAAAAAATTTAACTTACCTGACATGAACATCATTTCTCGTAACTCAGATTTTAAGATAGTCAACATTTTCTTTACTCCTTTAGAACCCTATTAAAATACGTATAGTGGTTTCAACAAAGTTGTATATACGTATGCTACAGTATTGAAAACAACAAACAATATTAATTTAATAATGGAGTATTTATTTAGATTTAATAAATTATTTTAAACTTACATTAGACCAATTAAATAGGGACTAATTAAATAGACTAATTAAACAAAATGACTGAGTAATTCCCCGTTTTAACGAGAGCACAAAGAGAGGCAAAATCAAGGTCTTATATTAATCTTCCTCAAGTTTTTCGAGAAGAGATTGGATTTAAAGGATTATATGTACCATCATTCAGGAAAATTACAGTTACAAAATTCACAACTTATCAAGGGTTCAAGCACATATTCTATGTTATAGTGGATAATTATTTTTTCTCACAATATCAATCCCAGTAGCAGGGGAAGAGATAATGGTATGATAATTCGAAATATTTAACATAGTAACATACAATACTGTTGCATGCGTGTAGTTATATTTTGAACTACTCAAAACGTTCTACGGAACATATTTCAAAAATACAGAGAAAGCTAATCCGTTCTCACCGCGAATTCCCTACAATCATAAATAGTACTAAGTAAACTGCTAAACAACTGAATTGAGATGTTTTCCTCCAGCTTTTATAAGCTTTTTAAATCATACACGAGAATATTCTGGTATTTTCTCCATTTTTCGGGATAGCAAAAAGAGTACAATTACGAGATATCTTTTTATTAAAATGTTAAATGCGCATGCTCCTGTATTTTAATTTTTCCTGCCTAGCTTTCTCTTCAAATAAGTCTCGTGCTGCATTGCGCGGGAATATAAAACAATTTTAATTACGAATTCTACTAAAAAATAGCTAAATAAATACAAAAACAGTAACAATACGATATATATATGTACAGTACATGTACAAAAGAATATAATCAAACATTTGCTATAATAGAAATCCCACCAACTAGATACAATGTAGTTATAGTTTAGAGTTAATATTACGAAATAAAATAAAGTAGGGAAAAAATCTAAAAGCTTTCAGATTTTACATTACGTCCAAAAGGGGTGTTTTTTTTTTTTAAAGTTTTGTTGGTTACCATATTATTAAATATTAATATAATAAAGTTCTTCGCTTTTAAGTCATAAAATTCAATAAAGCAATATCACAAAATAATTTTAAAATGAGCATAGCTTTAAAATTTAGGATACACAGTCTCGCGCGCTGGAGATATTTTTTCCGTACAGTGTTGATATTACTCGTTTTGAAATCATTGTGTTTATTAATAAAAAATTCTTTAATGTTCTGAGAAAATATGAAATAGGTAATAAAAGAAATTTCAAATTCAAATTTGGGCTTTCAAATGCCCATATTCTATGGAAGATTACGTTATTCAAAATCGGATGGCTCTAGGTACTGCTGGTTTATCACAATGCAAGAAATATACACACATTTATGCAGAATCTTGGTTATTTAATTTCTTTAAATATAATACAGGGCTGTAATATTTGCTGGCAACAGTTTGAAAAGTGAATCAACGCAAAATGCCAAAACGAAACGAAATTAATAGCGCTTCTGGACTAACGCCCTTTGGGTGCTATGCAATATATTATTAAGCTTACGCCGATTGGCGTCAGACAAATAGAAACTTTACAGGCAGGCGGATTCCAAATAAAGATCTTTTCCAGGCAGGCGGTTTGTGGAACACCAATACCTACCAAGCTGTAGAGATGATAAAATGCCGTGCCAGAGTAATCGAATTTAGAGAGGCGGCTGAAGAGAAAAATTAAAAGGTGGCGGGCGTTTTTAACCTTGAAGCAGGATCTCGTCAATAAATACTAATTTCAAAGACCTGAGATATTAGATAATCATTATTGTAACTAGCCTTTGCTATTTTTTCCTCCTATCAATCTGTAAACATAGCTAAGGGAGGTATTTCTTGTCCGGAAGTACGATAGTGAGTTTTTCAGTGAAAAAGCACGAATTAGGGTTCCAAAATACATTTTATAATTTGCCAAAATATTATTACAATGATGTCTGTCTGTGTCCGTGCATGAGCGTAACAATGTTTTCTGTCCCTGATAATCCTTATATCCAACTATATTTTCTGTATTCTGTGTCTATTTTCTTTCTGAATTCATAGAAATAGTTGATTAAATTTTCGGTGAATGATATCTTTGAAGATCGTAGCAGTTTTTAACGGATAACCGCAAGCGGTACTTTATTGGAAGACCACAACAGTTTTAATAAAAAACCTGTATTAAAATATAATGCAAAACGTTTCAAATTTACCATTAAAACTTTTAAATTAATGGGAACTACATGTTAGATTTTAGCTAAAATTGATTAACGAGAAGAAAAATATTTTGTAATATTTTTTCACGAAATCCATATACAATCAAAAACTTCAAATATATATACCAAAACTTCCATTCTTGTATTCAAAGCTCTTATATGTATATACTATGGATATTCAATCCCGATTGAGAACAAACAACACGTCAGATTTTGATTACATATTGTGAGACGGAAGTGGTATTTTACTTATGCTTAACAGATTTTCGAGTAAAAATATAGAATCACTCTAATAAGAGTTTTTCTAAAATAATACAGCGCATATTAAGATTATTTATTTTGCATTTAGACATAGTATTTATTTATATCAAGTTGTAGAAGACAATAATATTCATAATAGCGTTTCTTTTGGAGTGCATAAAAGCAAAATGTAATGTGGCATGTTATCCAAAAAGTTCCCTTTTATTCTCTTTACTGTTGATAATGACGAGCAGCAACAGCAACTAGCAAATTCGAAAACATCTATTGGTTTACCTCTTTTTAATGATCGAAAAACGCACAGTAGCCACTATTCAACTATAATTCCAAAACTTAACACGTGATGTTTACTAATACCTAAATATCGCTATATAGGAGCAGATTAAAATACATTTAGATATGTTGGAACTATGGGAATAATATTAAATTATGGTATAATTCCAAAACTTAACACGTGATGTTTACTGATACCTAAATATCGCTATATGGGAGCAGATCAAAATGCATTTAGATATTTTGGCACGATGGGAATAATATTAAATTATGGTATTTGTTTTTTCAAAGTATTTTTTCTAAATAACACAACTTAACACAAGTATTTATTTTAATAAACCTTTAATTTTCATTAATGAAAAACCACTTAAATTATTTGTTATTCAGCTGCGCAATAATAATTTAATAAAATATAAAGGGGTAAATATTTGATTATAATATTATATCAAATATTTACCTTCAAATATTTTACTTGGTATACAAAAATAATATATCAATATATAAAAATATCAAATATATCAATTATATCAATATAATAAAATAGTATATAAAAATATCAAATATTTTACTTGGTATATATTATATCAAATATTATAATCAAATATTTACCCAATATATATTGGGTAAATATTTGATTATTATATATTACTCACTAAATACTATATATTATAGTGACATAAAGTTAGAAAAACCAGTTTTTATACACGGCTCATAGTATTATTCAACCTTTCTATTTATTTTAACAATAAATTAAATTTGCTTACACACCATTCACACTTTATATATACCTTACTTAAAACCCGCTTCTATTTAAATATATAAGAATTGCCGCGGGGTCACGTGCTGGCCACATCAGACTTTTTAATGTACCCTAAAACACAGTTTAGTGATAAGTTTTTATGAATTCTTGGTATCGAATCAGAAAGTTTGTAATTGATTATTATAATAATTGTAACTGATAATTGTTTGTAATTGTAATTAATCTGAAATTTCCTCATTTTCTAATCATTTAGAACCGACTGAGATTTTAGAGGTTTAACATTCCATTACGGAAATTTACTTCTGAAAAAATTCTTGTGCGCAATGTTTGAGTTTCATTTCTGTGTTTCATATGATTGAATTTTAATTTACCTTCTTTAACCGAGTTCAGGTTCTACTAGCTCTCTGCCGTGTGATTCCCCCACCAACGGTGCGCCGTAACAGTTTCGTAGGCGTTAGCTGCTAGTAAAGCCGGAAGCCGCTTTTTTATGGAGGCATATAACTGATTGACCACCGTTCCAAAGACGAATAAATTACGTACCTGTCTTCTCGGGAATTAGAACCTGGACCCTTCCGCATTGCAGTCATGTCAGTAACCACTTTCCCGTTTGGGCGGCGCCGTGTGATACATTCATATTTATAAAGATAAAAAGATCTTCATAATATTGGGGAAATTCGTTGTGTCCTGCTATTTATAGCCTAATTAATGAATTGATATATTAGAAATAACGAGTAATCATGCCTATCAACTGTTAACAATTGATAATTAAGTTAGAAAAGGAGAGCTTCAGCTGCTATTTGCATTTTAAACTGTTCAAACAGCTTCTTTCCTTTGACTGTTTATTTTTGTTTATTTATTTTATTTTATTTTATTTATTTTTTACAGCTATTGTTACTATTTATATTCATTATGTTGAAAATGACTCTTTCCAACTGAATGTAAATGAATTCATTCAAATAATACATAACCCCTCATTTACAATGATTAATTATAATTGAGTTGAATAACTTTATTAAATGACCGACTCAGCCACACTTTTCTCCTCGGAACTTAGTTGCAAAGCCGGTTAAACTGATTTTCTCTTTGTAGATTATATGTATAAGATGCTATACCGAATTTTGTATATATGTTAATAATGTTAGTGAAATTATACGTAAATTTTGGTATCTCTTGTATAACGCAACATAAAAGGCCTCAAGAAAGCGAAGCTTCGGAGGAAAAATAAGGTTAGAGGGGTAAGTCCATTTAACATTGAGGTAAATGGTCATCTCGCCAAATTGATAGCGTCAAACTAGCAGTGATTTTGCCGATTAATTTTTGTCGCCAAATTTAGTGAGAAATCGCCAACAGTTGCTAAACTTAGCAAAATTGTAATTCTGTTTAGGTTTTCTGAAGAAACTTCCAATTCAAAAGTTCTGGGACTTAATTTTTAAAAATTCTTTTCATGTGAAAGGAGAAGTTTACCGATCCTTTTTAAAAATAGCGTTTGAGGACGTTGATGCAGTATTGTGAATGCGCAGCCCTCCAGCCTAATGACATCATGGTTATTTTCGTTGCTGGACAAGGTCAAAGACAGCCTTAAAATTACACATGTATGGCTTTGTTCCCATACCAGAGGTTGGGGCCCAGAATCAATTAAATACAATTGCAGATTAAATAATAAAATTATAATTACAGATTTAATAATTAAATACAATTACAGTTAAATAATTAAACATAATTATACATTTAGTAGTTTAAAATAATAAAATATCAAATATTTAAAGGAAAATTAAATAAATAATGAAAACTTGGCATCTTAAACACGTGGTCCAAGAGGTCGTTGTCATATTAGCAAAAAGAGTTATCGTTATCACAAAAACGAAATTTTCAAAAAATATGTCCTTTGTCACACACACACACACACACAAAAAAAAAAAAAAAAAAAAAAAAAAAAAAACGAAACTTTGGAAAAGATTATCTCATTCAAACATGTCAATACTAGATCTGATTTTAACGTGATCTAAGATGGTGCCGGTTACAATTAGCGGCTTATGTTTTTAAACTCCCATTGTGCTGCTGTCATCTACATAAATGGTGATCTTGTGACTGCATTTAAAATGACCAATGCAGTCTCCTACAGAAAACTAAAGCCAATAAATAGGTTTGTTGTAAACTTTTGCCATAACAAACAACTAAGATCTATTTTCATATGGAGAAAATCACCAGTATGCATGAAGTGAATGAACGATTCTCACATTTTCAAAGAACGTCTCAAACTCAATCAAAATCCAGTTCGAGATTTGCAACGGACTGCGCATAAAATCTCTGCCATTGCTGCAGTTGAGATAGTTGGACAGAGTAGTAATCGAAAAAAATTATTGATAGCACTCCATGAAGGGTGAAACAGAATACCCATTAGTTTTCATTAATTTTTGACATAGACTCTCCATCGTTAATTAAATATTTCATAGTTTTGAAAGGAATTAACTTACTAACACCTTTTAGTTTGGCAGATGAGAAGGAAATACTCTCAAATCTTTTCTCGTTTTACCATAATTAATTAGAGGGTACTCTTATATTTGCTAAATCTTTCGAAGCAAATTAACTTTTTAATCCAATCAATGAGTTCGAATCTTGATTTCGAACTTACATAAAGTTTGTTTTTTTATATGAAAGGATTATGAAGCATTGTGTTTCGAGCTGCATCAATTTATGAAACTTCATCATGCATGTGCTGTTGTTGTAGTTATTGCTTATGCTCACTTGTCTGACGTAGTCAGCACAAGCCCACGAAATTCCTCTTGGCAAGGAGCGCAAGATTACGCCTGTCGTTGGTAACAGCATTGAACACCTAACAGGTGACAGTGCAATTTGGCCCAGTTCCGCCCTCCATCACGAATGTTTTGATTAATGATCTCAACGATTTCAAAGGGAGCAATGGCAACACTGTACGGAAAATAGCATTTTTATCTCCAGCGCGCAAGACTGTCTATCGGAAATTCTAAAGATATGCTGTTTTTAATTAGTTTGTGATTTTGCTGTTGAATTGAATTTTACGTGGCTTACGTGCGAAGAAAATGATATTTAATAAGTAAAGGTAACACACAAAAAGTTACAAAAACGCCCCTTAAGGCATTATATAAAATCTGAAAGCTTTCAAATTTGTATATATGTATTTATGTGATGATTTTATTGATGGGCACAAGAATGACAGGAATAACAATCAGGTTACACCAGACGTTGTCGTTGGGAAGTAGAAGACAACAGAATGATGATATCGAAGGAATTAGCTTTTAATTGAACATTTCTATTCAATTCAAATGGCAGATCATATTTATTGTAGATGAAATTTTCCAGATTACATATCCAATAATGATTTAAATTAAAGCAAGGTTAAATTTAGGCTTTCAACGTCATAACTATTCTAACAAAGGGAAGAAGAATGGACAGAGCAGCACAGGGTCTTAAAGCAAGGAAGGCAGTAAGCAGTCTGACTAACAAATGGCGCGTACTCGGTATTTATACTAGCAGTTACATAACATGCCAGAATGATCTCGAAATTACTGTTCTAAAATCCTGAAATTGCGGAAAGTTAATTAGAGATTGCCTGTTCGTGTACAGCAAAGCCATCGTATTTTTTATATTTTACATATATATATTCTTGTTTTATTCAAAAAAGGTTACTTGATATTGAATTATATTCATTTTATAAGCTACAACATTTTTTAAGCAATAATATTTTTTGAACTTCTGAACTGCCAGTTAAATCACATCGAGAGAAAACAGTTATTTTTAAATAGTTATATACCTAAGCGTTAGTTATATAACTAATAAATGAAAGGCATATCAGTATAGACTTACTCCAATAGTAAGGCCCCATATGACTGGTCTTCCGACGAAGGCAACTTTTGCTCCTCTAGCCAAAGCTTTAAAAACATCGGAGCCACTACGAATTCCACCATCGATATAAACTTCTTTACTAGGATCAAGTTTATTCACTGCTTCGACAACGCCAGGTAGAACATCAATCTAAAATTAAATGCATAAATGTCTAGGAAAATAATATTAAAACTCTTCAAAAATTGGAAAGAGACATAAGAATTTTTCAATTTAACTGGAGCACATTAAAAAATTTACTGTTAAAATTCCATAAAGTTTAAACATAATTAAAGGTATAAAAATCATGAAAAAAAATCTGCTTTGTTTATGCAGATTGCAGTAATACCTGAAGCAGTTTTAAGCTAAAGAGTTCTAAGCGTTCTAGTTCCAGCATCAATCCCCCAGAAATTAAAGCAAAGGAGCACAAAATCTTATATTTTAAGTCAGTTTGTCAAAACGGCAAATTTAAAGTGTAAGGAATTTTCACCTGCCTTCGTGTTGCAATTAAAAGCACATCCTAACATCGGAAGATGTTGATAATATCGCTTATTTTCTGTGTTAACTAGCTTCCCCCCCCCGGGGGTCGACGTAGACAACTCTGTGAAGCTACTGTCTGGGATCTGTACCTAGGCAATCTCTACCACGGTAGTATAAAATCACGAACCTGGCGATTCCAGAACTCGGGGTTGGGTCATTTATATGGTCAGACCTCGGAGGAATGGCGTAAGACGTATACCAGGTGGTTCTGTAGCTTGATGTGGTACGGCACCACGGTGTGGGACGGCACCGAGTTTGCTAGCTAACGTCCTGATGGGACGCGCTGCCCGTGTAGTACTGGCGGAAGCATTTTAAACGACCAGTCAGTCCATCAGGTTTTCAGGTCACCCCTCCGTCGTATAGCCGATAAGAGGGAGTGGTGACCCCTCGGGCCCGGCCGAATAAGCGGAAGGTTTTTGGAGTTATATCGTCTGAGGCTAAGAGCCGGTGTGGGACCCGGTTCTCTAGACATAAGTGAATGCGTTCAAAACTCCTAAGTGGAATTAGTTAATTTGGGCTAAGGCTAAGTTTTGGAAACTGTGCACTCACGACTGCAGCCCACTGAGTGGAATTCGTTCTGTGGCCTTCCTGCAGTGGCCTTCCCCCTGCCTAATATGGGGTTGTCTCAGATGGGAGACCGTTCCCTCAGTTGTGACTTCAGTCAGGAGAGGTGTATAAATTTTTATTTATTGATTGATTTTTAACTCGCTTGAAAAAAAATTCCTGGATGACTTAACAGTTGGCGCTTAAATTAAAACTGTATTGGACACTATTCATCACACCTGGATCTGGCGATTGGTTCCTCACCTTCCGAGTCGCTCTTTAAGTGGAGGAGGGAGGATGTAAGGAATTTTCCCTTTCTTTACAGCGTGCCTTCGTGGTGCAGTTTTACGCACATCCGGCTGGCAGTCGAGAGGATCGGAATCCGGCTGGCAGGCAAAGGCATTTCAAAGGTAAGGTGATCGAACAAACTTTACAAAGGTGATCGAAGTATTAAAATTTAATCGATGATATTTCGTCATCATTACGATTAGGCGATTGGTTCTTCACCTCCAAAGTCGCAATTTACGTGAAGGAGTCTGTGAGGGATATATCCCTCTTTGCTCCATGCCTTCTTGATGCACATGGAATTACGTCTGGCTAGCAATTCGAAGGTCCTCATTTCGAATCCCGGCGAGAGCCTTGCAGATTTTTCATGTTCCCTGCTTCGGCAAACCTAATGATTCTGCAACCGTAGGATATAATTTCTGTTTCATTATTTCAGTGCAAATTAGTACCATGTGCAACCCTGTGCTTTTTTTTTTCTTAAATAAAGAAAATCTTTAATTATGGATGAATTTTTTTCTTTACGGTTCCATTAGGATGCGTTCAGACGGCGACGTAAATGTCACAGAGGCATAGTCAGAAGGAATAAAAAGCGGGGATTCCGTTCGCACCTGCGACACAATGTCTAAGACCCACCCACTTAGAGAAGCTAAATTTGCGTATGTTTTGCCGCTCTTTTTTCCCATTTAGGTTTCCCGCGTTCGCTCTGATTGGTAGATGTTTATCCCAAGTCGGTATAGAGTTGAAAACTTCGAACTTTATTATAAGTGCCTAAACCACATTTTGTGACGTGGCACAGACTGGTTGCCTGCCAACGCAGCTCGACTTAAACCACTTATGCTCTTTATGCCGTCGTCTGAACGCGCAACCTTAAATACTATGCGCTTATACTACAAAGCCTATATATTTAATGACTTAAAAATTAACATCACACACCATCACGCTAGCTATCTTTCAGATAGACCAGTCAAGTGTGCTTTGAACTGAATTACAGGATAGATACATGGCCTTGAAGAGTGATTTTATTGAAGCTGAATTATTTACATATTTTTTTAGATCTTCAATATAGCATTTCCGCAATACCTTCGCTTTACAGTGGTAATTATGTTAACGAAAGAAATATATAAGTATTCTTATTAAAAGAATGCCATTAAGAATCACCTTAACATGATTGAAAGCATACGGAGTTTTAATGTTTACTGCAATTATTTTATTTCCGTATCTCTCTATAACGTACAGCTAAATTCTAGAGACATTAGGTTGTTTCGAAGCAGGATATATGAAATATGAGCGATGCTCTCCCCGGGACTCGAACCTTGGATCTTTCGAATACGCGCCGAGTGTGCTGGCCATTATATCACGAAGACATGCTAAGAAAGCGAGAGAAATACCTTATATACTCCAACTTTTAAAGGGCAACTGGAGGTTAGGGGATCCAATCGCCAAATCCTGGTGGTGGAGAATCGTCATCCATCAGCCTTTTAGCTCGGGCGCCACTGTAGAGTTATTAGATTATTTTTGAAGCGGGAGATGTGACAAATGAGCATTGCCCTCGCCGGGGCTCGAACCTGGACCTCTCGAATACGTGCCGGGTATACTATCGTTACACCACGAAGGCATGCAGAAAAGAGGGAGAAAATATCTTATAAAATTAGAAAACAAATGTGTAATAAATGACTAAAAATAATAAAAATAAATATTTTACACTTACTACAGTATTAAAATATGTTTAAGAAATACTTCTGAAATAAATTTTGCAACAAAAAATGCTTATTTCCTAAGAATTATAAAATATGTTCCCCAAAAACAAATTATTAAAATCTTAAATTATTTTACAGTAATAAATACTATTTTCTATACTGCGATTCTGTGATGTATGATGTCGATTAAAACGAATTCTGTGCATTAATTTGTATAACAGTATGTTTTAATTTTCTATATGCGTTGCTATACATTCATGATATTCATGATTTTAACTGAAATTTTTTACTCATAATACCACCTGATGTATTACTTTTTGCAATTTATATAAACAAATGCTTTCTATCACGCATTTTTTTCATTGTTTTCAAGAGTATATTGTTTCACATTGAGCATATATCTAATAAAGTACTTTATATTTTAGGAAAATCAACGGTTTTCATATAAAATAGCCGTATTAGGTAGTTTTGTAATTTTTAACATTATATATAACATTCCATTTTCCAACATTCAGTGTAACAAGCACATACTTGTTAACACACAAATCTTTAAATGTGTTTATTAATTGAGATTTTTTAATTCTCTTTTACAATTTGTGCTGTCAGAGCCTTTTATTTATAATTCACGGCTTGTGCAAAAAACTTCCTTCAAATCTTATAAATGACAACTTATGAAATTTGTTAAGGGAGATTTTCAATTTATAGTTAGTGATATATTTAGCAATACAAAAATCATGTTTCGTAATTTTAGTTTTTATCATTAAAAATTTATTTGATTTTAAATTTTAATTCCAAATCTTCCGGAGACTGGATCCTATCCGCTAATACTTTTTTTAAATAAGTATGCACTAAAAAAATTATACAATACTTCTCTCACCTGTGTTAACTGAATGCAGTGCAGTAATATCTGGAATATATTCCTTTGTTTTATTTTATTTCATTCTACTATACGTAATGATATTTACTGCCAGGAAAATACAATATGCTTGCAGCTTTATTCTTAGGTAGGCCTATAAATGGCTGTCAAGTGGAAATTAATTGCAATGAAATTGTAATTCACATGTATGTGTATTTGAAACTCTAATTCTAACATTCATATTTCCAGAACATTTGTATACTTAGCGTCTTCTAATGTTTTTCTTCAGATTGATCGCTTTTGTTTGATCAGTACGCTAAGGAGTCATAAAAGTACTAAGCACTGGTAGTTTGATCCAGGTTGAAATCGCGGCAAACGGACTGGCTGCAGGGGAGTATTTATGATTTTCAAGAAGGCGATAGCCACTCAACCGAGATAGTGATTGATGACTCTGACTGCCGTAACAAAAGGCCCGGTTTCGAATACTGGAGTGTGCGGCATGGGGGCACTCAAATATGAGAGGAGCCAAAACATCAACTCGGGAGGTTGGTGGTAGAGAAATAGAACTGGGAGACACTCGACTCGTCCCCTCGGGGAGATCCTCAATAAAATTCATCCCGGGGGACCCGTCCACCCGAGATGATCTGCATTACAATTGGTGCCGGAACTAAGCAAAGTGGTAGTATCACTTGAATGGTGTTCTTCTCAGATAAGTGAGATAAGTCACAACAACCACAACGCATGAGGGTAATATTAACAAATTCCCTCAAAAAGTCTGCGGCAGAACATCCTCCATGAACTTATAGCTTTTCTTAGGCAGATGACCTTTCATATGTTCTGCTGTCATCAAAGATATCTAATCTACTTTAATAAAATCAATGTGACTAAATGGATAACTGGAAAGTTGAATAGATTCAACTTTTTAAAATGTTATACCTGAGGTCTTTTAATTAAACTTAAATATTTCCGAACACATTCTCACACATTTAGAAGTTACTGACTGCGCTTCAGATGACATCGAATATGTTGGAAGCCTCTCAGCTCTCTCAGCATAAAATTCCATATAGAAGGCTGGCTTTCTTATTCATTACACATGAAAATTTCTTCGTTCTTTTAATGTATTCGATTTTGGGTGGGATATATGATGGAAGAGAAGGAATAAAGATAAAAAGTGAGAGAGTCGTTTTTTATTTTTAATCAAGAAAATACCATTTATTTATGACATTTTGAGGAACTTTAAAACTTTAGGTCTAAACCCTAACGCTCGAAGGGCTAGTCAAATTCTTTCCAACGTTCTTATTTTTATTTAATTTAAACATGCCCTCAGTCTCTCAACCATTTTAAGCTAAGAGTTAGAAGCCAGGGATTAATTAGCAAGTGTAACAGCAAGCGAAAATTCAAGATTATATTGATAATAATGTATATATATCAACTGAGAGAGAAAAATAAATTCATAAAAAATCAATTACAAGCCCAATTTTCAACTGCATATTTGAACTTGTACACTAAAGTTTAAAACGTACTACTATAAATGGAAGGTTATTTAAGATCAAACTTACGGTTGCAGGGTCTCCATCCACCTGCCTTCCGCCATGATTTGAAACTAAAATAGCCGAAGCTCCTGCTAAAATAGCTTTAGTCGCATCTTCACCTGTGATTAAAGTTAATTATGTTATCTACGTTTTAATGCATGAAATAAAGATTATAAAACTCAAATTGTTAAATAACATACTGATCGAAATTCTACAAGTGTACGAAAAAGTTCCTGCACTATCTCTTTTAGCAATAAATATATTAATTATCTTCGCACATGCGTTTTCAAATTACCTTTTTTGAATTAATCATCATGCACAATAATACACCGGTTCTAGCATTCATGACAACCCTGCAATGCACACTCGTAATCAGTTTTCATAAGCAAATCCACAACATGTTACACTTCGCGCAGTAGTTTGCATATTATTTTGCTTGTATCCTAGCTTTGTACTGACTATAATAATATGAGTTACGTTGCAAGCGTATTATCATAAATTGCAAGAGGTTTATTCTTTGCTGTATTTATAAAATCTTCATCGTTTTACTAATTGTTTACTCCCTTATAATGGTAAAAAAACTATTGTGTGTTACGTAGCAACTGCGTGCACCTCCTGTGCGGCTTTAGTTATAGTTTAATAACTTAAATTAATTAAAAATACATATTCGTAGCAACATTAGTTTTATTTTTATCATTTCATGACACAATAATAATCGCCTTTGACACACAAGGTTTTGTAATTTTATCAACTGTAGAAATTCTTAATTGATTATAATACCTATCTTTTCTAATATAGGTTAAAATTATTTTAGAGGAATTCTAACAATTTTTATTTTTTGCATTAAAAAATCAATAAAGTTTACTACGCTTAATACTGTTTTGTTTACAATGCATTAATACTGAATCATTAGTGTAACAAAAGCACTAAAACTTTCGCTACTGTAATAGCAGCAAAAGTTTTGCAGATTCCTAAGAGTAAATTTTTTACAACACAGAAATGATCAAGATTTGTGTTACATTGATATGGACATTGATTTTATGCAACGTTATTATTGTTCAGAAAAACTATTTCGTGCATTAATAGTTTTTATTGATTATCAGAAATTTGCTATTGTATGGATTTTTGATTTAATATAATTTTATGAGCACCGATATGTATCGAGCAAAGTACACTGAAGCACTACATACCAAGCTCTCAAACAACAGAATGGCTCCATGTAAAGTTTTTGAACAACAGTCTCAAACATTCAACATATTTCTGATTAAAAACAAAAGCTAATGCAAAAATGTACAAGATGCTGGGTGGGCTCTCCTATTGCGAAAAGGAAATATACTACGCTGGTGTAGAAATGTAATTCAGGATACAATATGAAAATAAATGCTGTACTGGCTGTAAAGCATCTCTTATCGGACGTGAGACAAACGCGATTAACGTAAATAAATGCCACTCTTCTCATCCCTTAAGAGTTACAATCTATAAGTAAACATAATGCACAGTAGGCATTGACTGTTGTCTCTGGTAAAAGTATTAATTTATTTCAAGAAATATTACGCAAAACGTTTTTGCAAGAAGCTCAAAATTTCTGATTCTGTAGCTTTGTACACGTAGTCGAAAGTTTACATTTTTTTTTTTTTTTTTGCGTGGTTTTTGGTGCAATTATAAACGTATGGTTGTTTTCCTATAACAGTGAGTCACTCACCATTACTCTTCATTACCCATGAGGAAATCAGATCACTCATATCTTATGAGGAATGGTTTGGTTCCGAAAGTAAGGTCATCGCATTTTCAGATGGCTCAGACTATTCTTTTACCATCGATAGCGAACTGATGATACACTTTGCACTTTGTAATCGATTATGAAGTCTCGATACTTCGTTTACGTTTGATATGGAATTGTGGTAAGGTTGTACATAGAAAATCTTGAAGAAAGGAAAAGTATCTAACTTCATGTTTAATTCTTTTCTTGTTGTATAAGAGATTCGGCGCAAAGCCAATAGATCTGTAAGATATAGTCAGTCATCTCCATTATTCAAATTAATTCATCGTGATACCTTTATGAAAGTCTTAATAAACAGAAACTGGCTCATATTGCTGATACATGATCAAAAGTACTGATATGCTTAGTTCAGTTCTCTTGTCAATAAAAAACAGAAATTGTGCATGCAATGAGTGTAAAAAATAATAAAAATTTATATCCGTATGTATTGCTGTTTAAGTAGAAACAACGCATGACTATAAAATACGCAAGTAGTGCACGACGTTGCAAACTAGTCCGAGGAGGTTGCAAAGTGGTTATGGTAACTTTTACAACCTCTTTACAACGTTGCGAAGACGTAAAATATTTGCCGTTGAATCTTGGCAATTTGTCGACGTCGCTGAAACGTCATGATATGACAGCTTTCAGACGTGGTCGCTTTAGCATTTTAGTTTTTTTAGTTCATCAGCATTACTTTTAGAATGAAAAGAGACTAAATCTGCCCTTTCAAGAATCTGAAGTCCGCATAAGATTTACTTTGCAATATTTCATTACTTTATTTCATCTAAATATATTAATCTAAGGTAGATTCATCTAATGAAATGTAAATTTAATATAAATACTTTAGATTTATTAAATTTAATTAGTACTTGCTAAATAATTGTTTAAAATTTTTATAAATAATTAATACTCAAACTATTTTTTATAAATAGCAAAATATTTAAAAATGAATATTATAGCAAAATATTTAAAAATGAAACTAATCTATAAAGTAAGTTATTAAGTTATGCATTTTATATACTTTAAAAAATCATATTTCCGAAATCAATGCAAATCATATGCTAGCAGTTATTTCACTACTGAAATATGACTTTATTTCTTATTTTGGAAGTAAAGACGAATTCTCGGCTGTCTAATATATATGAAGGAAAACTCATCGACAATCAGGAGAAGCAGATTTGTACATTATTTACTGGATGTTTAATATAAACGAACATCTCGAGATTTGCGCGCTTTGGCTAGCTGCCAAATTCATACAAGGAACTACGCAATTAATTCAGATTCTAGCAGTTCTTTTAAGTAATTTGGTAAAGATGCCATCTGTAAGGCGTTTGAAAAGACTGACTGCATGTTTGAAATTAAATCAAGCAAGGACTCATATAATTGCGAATATCTGCTCTACAAGAAGACACCAAAAGTTTGGATACATCATTTAAAAAATATTGAATGCAACGAGCTACAATGGTAATCGTGAATATAGTGTTCTCTTTTGGTGTTTTATGTGTTGCCTGTGAATAAAAAGTTATATGGTGGATTGTGCTTCGGTTATAATGTCCTAAGTGCTATATCGTATATCATGCATATTAAGCGATTATTATGTACATATTGAAAGGTAATCTTGTCGAGTCATTAGGTTCATTGGAAGCAGAAAAGATGAAAAATAGCAATCGACTTCACCGGAAATCGAGCCTCGGACCTCTGGAATACCATCCCAGCGTGCTACCGTTACACCACGAAAGCACGCTAGGAAAGTGGGAGAAATACCTTATATACTCCCCTTTTTAAAGGGCGACTAGGGATTTAGGCGACCTAGTCGCCAAATCCTGAGTGCGGAGAATCATCATCCACAACCATTTTAGTTCGGGCGCCACTTGTAGAGACATTAGGTATATTTGAAGCAAGCAGACAAGATAAAAAATGGCAAACGCCTTCGCCGGGAACCGAATCACGGGCCTCTGGAATACCGGCCGAGCATGCTACCGTTACACCACGAAGGCATGCTAGGGAAGTGGGAGAAATACCTTATAATCTCAGAAGTAATTCATATAAAATCAAAAGTAACATACAACGGTAAGGCATTTTCTGGTTTTGCTGAAAATGCAATCAATGGAGAAGCAAATTCATATTATTCTGGTGTGTTCGTTAGTTTCAAAATACACAAAAAAAAAAAAAAAAAAAATTGGATTGGTGGCAGTACTTAAGGAGACGGTGGACTTTAAAAATTAGTTTTCTAATTTTTTGTGTTTTCTACAAGGAATTTTACACATATACATATTATAACATCAGTTTATTAAAATATATGTTCAAAATTTTAATTAACTTTAAATTAAAAAATTTTAAAACAAATAATTAATTATTTTAATTAAAGATTAAAAATGCTCCTTGCGCTCTAATTTTCAATATTTCTTCCTAATTTTTCCTTTAAGATAATTATAAAGACTTACCAAAAGATTTTGTGTATCCATTATTGAATATGATGAATCAAAAATTTTTAAAAAAGAATTTTGTTAACTTAAACCCAATTTTCGGAAAAATATCACCTTTTGTTAAACATTATCACAAGTTTAAAATTCTTAATAACCTCCTATCCAAAAATGCATACACGTTTTACTGTAACATATAACAAGATAATTTCTTCCAACTATCATTCATTTTGAACTAAAACTGAGTCGCATGGAGCATTTTCAAGACATAGGAACTGCCAAAAATTTTGTTTTGTGAAAACCGAATTTAAAGTTTTTCTTCAAACTTACTTTTAATACATGGTCATGAAAAACAGCAAATTAATTTTAAATATAACTTGTAAACACTAAATAACATTTTCGTATCATTTAACTATTTTTAATCTCATAATATTAAATATGGCAAATATAAACATATCTCAAATTGGTATGTGATTCAAAGTTATAGGGAGAAACAATTTATGCATTATACCCAATGAATCATTTAAAATTCCCCCGCACCATATATTTTATCTTCATTTGTCACATTTACCTTATCTTTTAATGCTTTACAATATTTTTTACTATTTCTGTTTTTTTTTTCCAAGCAGGTAAACTTATCTTTTTGCTTTGGTTCAAGCGACGTTGATCCCGCTTTTTTGCAACGAATAGAGAAAACGAGTTTCCCCATGCTCTACGCGTATAACATTTACATAACCAAGTTAAATTCATCAATACTTGTCAATCCTGACATTTCTAGCCTTTTTTTTAGAAATAAACATTTCTTTTGGTCAAATATATAAATTATAACTGTTGAAATACATTTTTTACATTTTTTCCAAAATATATGAATTATAACTGTTGAAATATATTTATACATTTTCTCCAAAATTTAAGGGTAAAAGTTTACATTGTTTATACACTTTAAATGCTTGTAACTTCTTTAAAAATTAGAATATTTGAATTCGGTTTTTTGCATACGATGTAGTTACGTATATGGAATATTACGAGAATAAAAAATCAAATTCAATATTTTGGTTGATGTTTAGCTATTTTAAAGTCCACCGTCCCCTTAATATAACTGCTGAAGGTAAATTAGATATATGTAATAACAAGAACCAATACATTAAAATTAATAATTTCATTTCATTCTACACATTCTATAGTATGCAGGAAAGATTAATCATTTTAAAGGTGTATGAAATGTATGATCGAAAGAAAAATGTTAAGAAAGCCTTAGCATTACTATGAAATATTGTCATCTATAATTATGTGATATTTAATTGTGTAATATTAAAAAACACTAAATATTTTTTATTGATTGCAAATTGCAGTTTTAATAATTTTCGTTTAGCATCTATTCATCCAAACACTGTGTACGCGTTTTTTTAAATATTACCGTTATGTATGTTTATTAGATTCTCCCAATAAATGAATGTTGGAAATTAGGTTTTATTTTTTATTAAATTTAAGTATATTCTATTGACGTTATGTATATTTATTATCTCAATAAATAAATGTTGGAAATTAGGTTTTATTTTTTATTAAATTTAAGTATATTCTATTTTCTTCGCTTACTTTTTATGTGCTTGTGTTAGCAAAGAAATTCATAATAAATAGAAACAAAACGTTTCATCGTGTGCTATTTAACCAAGAGTTTACTTTAACGTACTTAGCTTACTATCGTATACTATATTACTTAAATTATTTCTGTACAGTATTATAAAAAGTGTATGAAATAATCATTGTAATCTACCACTATTCTAAAATGTAGAAACTAAAAGTAAGTAAATACATTAACATATGATCCAAAAAAATGGTGCTAAGGAACATCAGCATTACTAGTAAATACTGCAATCCATAAATAGTGCAACTTTAATTGCTTACTATTTAAAAAACACAAATAATTTTTTTATTCATTGGAAATTTTAGTTTTGTTACCTTCCTTCTGCTATTTGTACTTTCAAACACCGCTAGTTTATGGTTTTTTCCTTAAATAGTGCTGTCATGTATGTTGTTTGTTAGGTTATTATTTCATTTTATATAGGAAATGGGAAGTTTTTTTTTTTTTGGTTGTAAGATTTAGGTATATTTTTGATAACATTTATTAACTACTTTATACAATGTTTCACTTGCGTATCTTGCAGATATAAAAGTTAATGGTTATACTTTTTACCATAAAACGCGAATAAATTTATACTTGAGTTCAGGTAAACTACTGATTATGTTCCCTTAAGAATTGCTTCCTAATTTATCATGACAGGGGCAATTTTCAATGTCTCCGAGATTTAATAGAAATAAATGCGATAATGCTGTTATAATCAGAAACGCTCTTTTTTACCGACATATATATCTTTATTTTTATTTATGTCTGATTGAGTTTTATTTACTTAAAACCTACTAACCACTTTCATAATTACTCTCACTTACATACTAAAGGATTAAGAAAAAAAATAATGAAATCCTAAATAATCATAACTTGGAATTTAAGTTATTTAAAAATATAGTTTAAATTAATGAAAATAATTAACACTGTTATTAATTATACATAATTATTCTAAAAGGAAAAAACTGTATTTTCTTCTGGTTTTCAGGAAATGATAAAATATTTAAACTTTAGAAAAATACAAGGAATACAAAATTTAAAAAAGGAGAAAAATATATTAATTATAAGCTTATTTTTCTGCATAAATCAATATGTAACACAGTACATAATAACGATATTTTCACAACTGTTGAGAAAAGGTCAAATTCTGTAAACATTTAGACTTCGTCGTACGATTCTTTCACAACCGAAATATAACCTAAGAAGGACGTAATAACGATGTCTGTGCGATAAAAACCTCATCTGCAAAGACGTAATAAAGACGTTTTTGCAACAGTTGCTAAACAGTGGAATTTCGCGGACATTTGCGTATCTTAAAGACGACATATTGCAACGTTTTTGCAAGACATCCGTTATGAGTTTGCAACGTCGTTACTACGCTGCCGTGCTACTTGGGTAGTATTAGAATCTAATGATTGTACATGTACGATTCAAAATTATAATTACGTATGGTAGAGCACATGAGGAAAATAATCATTGAATTTTATTTATTTAAAAACTTCGTAGTAGATAAACAACGACCACTTGCTTCTCAACGATACAAGTCTGTCTCTCGATGGTAAAGAGCAGTCCGGGCCATCCGGAAAAATCGACGGCCCGAAAATAATCCCAATGTTTTCCCGTCTAACAAACGGTCTTGACTTGCTTACGCGGGATGTCCTAAGCGCAACACTCCCAGCAAATGAGATCATTTTAGGAAGTTGGTAACATCCACACAGCTACAATGAGGCATTTTAACTTCGCCTAAGACGTCTTTCACTGTCATTAAGAGCAGCAATAGAAAGCCTCTTTTAAGATAAAAACATGAAATTTCATGTATAATTAATAAGCATTTTATATAGTTATGTAATTCCCATTATTTTCTGGACAATCCGTGTATTTTGTCTTTATTGAATATGCTGGTGGTGGTGACTGGTGACGGAAGGCGGGGACGCCTGATGTCTAACATAGGTAAGAAGTTGTATGTCCCACACAGTCATCAATCCAGAGCAGCAGGGACAATAAGAGATCTGCCCCGAGAGTTCATGTCCTTTAAGCAGAAGATATCGCATAGTTATTGGTTTTTACAACTGGTAATAGTAGCTTTCGTAGTACCAAGTGGCTTTCATAGTAAAGAGTGGTTAATGAATATGCTAAGTGATATTTTTATGAGAAATAGCGAGAATAAGAAATGTTGAAAAACATTCATGAATGAAATATGAATGCATGAAACAAAGATTGCGTATCTGACATTTTTTCCTATATATTCAAAGAAATCAGCTATTCAAGCCCCTTACCACAATTATTCAAATCAGCACTAGTGCCGATAAATAAATATCATAAATTCGATTAAAACTTCTACACAAGCGATAATGCTTAGTTGTCATTTATGTTGACAAACGTCACATGGACACATACTCTAATAATAATTCTTCCGCAAAAGATAGATGTTCGATAAAATGAAATTTACCCTTCAACGAAAAGCAGTTAAATAGCGCATAGTTCCATTATTTAATTACAGTCATGCATGTCAAAATGAAATACTATTATTTTATAGCGCAATAGAAAACATGCTAGTGCAAAATTTCATAAAATTTATTGATTTTTTTTCAAAAACAAGATGGTACCTTCAAAACAAAAATCGGATTTTCAATTACGAAAATATCTGTTGTATACACCACGTCTTTTTGTGCGAAATAATAAATTATGCGCATATTTTGCTGCACTTCATTTAAACTTATTTCTTCGAATTTCAATAGAGGTAGATTTCTCATTCAATTAATTCAGTTCTCAGTTCGCAACAAGGCAAAAATACATGAAAACTCAAAATATTTTCAATAAAAATTTAAAGATATAGAAAAACTTAAAACTCCGAACACAGTTAAAACAATTAAAAAGGCCGTTTCTACGCAAAAACAAAGAATTCGGGCAGATTATTTTGGTGCACAGAACTAAAAGTTCCCTTTCGGTCCCACTCGGCAAAAAGACACTGAAGGTGCAGGAAGACATAATTGACTGATCTGCTAAGTTTCAAATGTAAACAAATACGGCTCCCATGGTAAGAAAAATTAGGCTTAACTGCATTGAAACAACTTTTAAATTGTTGATTATTCCACAAATATTGCATGCAGATTAATAAAGGCATAAAAGCCTTAACGGGAAGATAAGAACAACATAATTCAAACGTTTTAAAGCAAAAATTGCATAATTTACCAAATTATAAGAATTAAAAAAACTGAGCCGCCTACTGAGCAGAGTAACAGAGTGGATTTAAGTGACAGAGTGGAGAGTAACAGAGTGGATTTTTAATTCAAGTCCCCTTAAAACATTTTTAATAATTTACATTCAAGTTACTTTAAAACACAAATTTCGGAATTAAACTTCCTACACATGGGTTCACTCTTTTTTGATAATTGTACTAAATTTATATTAGGGGATAATATAATCAATATTTCTTTAGTAAATATATATACTTTTGGTATCGCATTTGGTTTTGGCAACCAAAACGAGAGGTTCACAACTACATGCTATAGCATTCCTATATACAAAATTCCGATGTTCTGAGGTAGCTCGTTTTTGAGTTATGCGAGATACGTACATACATTTGTATGTACAGACCCCACGAAAAAAGTCTCTTCTGAATCCTTTTGAAATCAGCTTTATAATTCGTTTGGGAAAATGAGTTCTTTATTCTGTCCGTACGTACAGATGTCATGCAAGCACATCACTAAATTGCGTTCGATAGTAGTCAGAATGGATATTTTCGTTGAAATATTATACCAGGAATTTTTTTCGATTACATTATTTTCTTTACTTCGTACAGTGAAGTAAAAAGACACATACGTTATCTATACCTCAGCAATATCTCAGCTTCGACAGATTATAAGTGCTTCTGTTCGAATAAAACCCCATATTGCCGCAAATAACTATTCCGTATTCATTGAACACCGGATTAAAGTTCGAGCATATGTTACTCTAGAATTGATGCTAAGGGTTCCGGAGAATTATGGAAGGAATTTCATAAATTAGAAAGTATTACTTACCTTTAAGTATGCCCTTTACAACAATTGGCAATTCCGTTTGTTCTGTTAACCATGTGATATCATCATAGCTCAGAGAAGAATTTACACTAGGTACCTTTCCATCAGGCATGTTTACTAAACTAAAAAATATAAGTTGTTAGTTACTTTTCAAACACATGAAATAATCCTTTATTTGAAAGATTCCCACCATCTGAAATATTAAGAACTACCTAAATTTGAGAGAGTTCTGTAAAGATTGTAAATCAAGTGTTCTCAAACTTTTAAAATTTTATATTATATAAATAAGATTTAAAAATATTTGCTTCATCATCTACCAATATGTCTACCAAAAGGGACGCCATTTTACAATTATTTGAACCTTTTGTGTAAAAAATGTACCACCAAAATAATGTACTATAACAATTAGTGATACTGGCAGTTTAGTTTGTGAAATCCTGCTGCAAATTTATCTGAATATTATTATGACATAAATCTTCCCCTTTAAAGTAGCATATCATCTTTCACGTAAAGAAAATTACCTTCATTTTGAAAAGTTATCCACGATGAAACCCTGGATGTTTTCCTAATACTCTATAAATGAAGGTTCCTATTTTATTTCGATAGCATATTTAAAATAAAAATTAAACTGTGGCAGTTATTATTAATTTTCCCAAAGTATTGGAAACGAATAAAAAACGATTTGATGTGGACACGACGTGACTTACTTGTTGGGCCTGTTAAATTATGCATATTTTTGCTCCTTTTTATTTAAACTGATTTCCTCGAATGTCATAACAAATACATTTCTCATTCAATTAATTTAGTTCATCACTAAAATCACAAATAACACTTCAGAATTGCTTGACAGTATCCTAAGGACATAGAAGATTCTTCAATAATATTCCTAATTGTTAAATGATAATCGGTAGTCACCACATCTCTGAACTGACCGATGTGTTGCTCATTTATAGAAATGTATATTCCAGCAGAGAATGGTTTGTTTTCAATAATTTCTTTACTTTCCTTGAACATTTAAAAACTCTCAATTTTCGTAAAGATGTGTCGTCAAAAATCTTTTGTATCATTTAAAGGATGTTTAGTAGAAATGACATAGCAAAAGCCAAATTTAATTTAAGTTGAGAAGTCTTCAAAGCAAAAATGTTTTATGCATTAAAAATGAATTTATTTGAAAATGGAAAAGAAAATGAAATGCGTGTTGTTACTTCATGTCGAAGAAGGACGTAAAAATGCTGAAAGAAATTTGGAAGCAAATATCGTGTACGTGAGTATTTTAATCGAGTAATTCCTGGTATTGTATTCACAGTTATATATACCTAAACAAACCAAATTCGACATACCTACAGAAAGGATGCCATTTACAAACAAAGGAAGTTTTAATGGTACCATTGGGAGTTTTAATGGTACCAACTTTGATTACTATTATTACAAGTTTGATTACTATACGATGCTATGTATAACTATGTCAAACTATGTAATAGTAATCAAACTATTACATAGTTTGACATAGTTTTACGATTACTATACGATGCTATGTAAGTTTGATTACTATACGATGCTAAGCAGGACTACAAAAGACTATTACTATATTACAAATCGTGAGATTGGTTTTGCAGGCAAAACTAATTATTCCCAATAAAATCCTCTAACTGTTTCATTTAAAGGGCTCTTTTGCAGTCAATTTCCCAGTTCTCACTTTCACTACTAATATCGAATCCGTTTATTATTAATTGTTACAAAAATAGAAAATAATTCATAAATATTCCATATAAGCATGAAGTTTTACATGAAATTTTGTAATGGCAAAAACATTTTCCCTTTTGTTTTTTAAAACATTATTCGTCTTTAACTCTTTGTTATCTTTCTCTACCTGAACATCTAAGTATTTTCGTCACCAAGCGAGGAATTCTTTTAGCCTTACCGCAAATTTAAAATGAATGTTAATTAAAGTAGAGTTAATGCTTCCATAAAAGTATAGATCTGCTGGAAATTAAATCTTCATTTACACAACATACATTTTTCTATTTTTTGAATACATTAGAATATAAACAATTAAAACAACTAAAACAAGATTTTATAATGGGAGAAAAAAAATTACAGACGTTTCAAAAAGAAAATTTGCTCAAAAATTGAAGTTTTGGTAACCAAAATGAAAAACGAATGCATTATGCGACAAAATTCAATATTTAACGTATTAGATAACTTCATGAGCATCAGTTGCTTTAAACAGAAAAACAAGCTCTTTTTTAACATCTATCAAAAGCTTTCATGAAATCGTAATACACGATTTAATTTTCACTTTATAGTTCCATTTGAGTTGATTAAGTACATAAAGTTCATATTATTTTAAAGAACCATTTATTTTATGATTTAAATCTCTACTATTACCTCTCTCTTCCGTTTCTTGACCAGAATGTAATGTGAGATTTTCGGATTGAAAGATATAACGTGTTTCTGCCTTTCGAGATCACATTGCTAGTGCAGCTAGCCAGTGCCTCCTAGATTATATATCTAGGAGGTACTGAGCTAGCTCAGTTAAGATTTCACTCTGCGGCTTGAAATATAGTCGCCGATATTTTAATTGCTAAGCCTGCAATAAATTTTGAGCCAACTTCCTGCTAAATCATTTGCGCAGCCCTTGGTTACTAGACTGAATGCTGAATAACATGTTTCGTTCCTCTCCACATTATAAGATTAAACTGTTGTAAATTAATTTGCTTTTTGAAAAAATATTTCTCAGGGATTCTTACATTGTTGAAGAGCTTCCCAATATATTATTCAAAATCTTTGAATTAAAATTAAGCTAACCTCACAAATGTAAAAATGTTCAAATAAATAAATTAATATAAAACACATAAAATATAAAAATATTTAACAAACATCTGGAAGGGCAGCAGTTTGAAAAGTGAAACCTACATTCAGAATGATTCGACGCAAAATCGCAAACGAAAACAATAGTCTCTGAGGGACAAAGCACCTTTGGAGTAAAAAAAATCTAAAAGCTTTCAGATTTAACGATACGGCCAAAGAGGCTTTTTTAACGTTTTGTGTGTTAGCTTTATTTATTAAATATAATGTTCTTCGCACTGAAAACCATAAAATTCAATTCAACAGCAATATCGCAATTTAATATTCAAATGATTATAACTTTCAAATTTCCGATACACAGTCTATTATTATACACAGTCTAAATATTGCTACTAGCAGGCAAGAATGCGATGCGTATTGCATAGCTGGAGTATTTATAGCTTGGGAAATTTTTGTTTGAATTTAAATTACACCAGGGCAGTGGTCGGCAAAGTGCGGCTCCAGAGCCGCATGTGGCTCTTTGGCTCCTTAAGTACGGCTCTGGTACGAATATCCACGGAAGGTGGAACAATATTTTCATTTAAAAAAACTTGGTAAGAAAAATGTTACATCTTACTTTGATAAATTAAAATTCTTCTATAAATCGAGAACATGTATAATTTTTTGTTTGAGTAAAAAGATAGATAGGTAATTAAAATTTTATATTCTTGTAAAAATACGTAACGAACATTGAGTTTAATTTTATTAGTTTTCGTAAACGTAAACATAAACCATGCACAAGCTACCGGCATGCGCGTGCATGCTTTTTATAAAGTAGTGAAGGTATAAATTGGCATCACAGAGCAGTAGTTGCAGTGTGAACAGTTTTGTCTTTTCTACGGTGTCTGCCGTTGACCTGTCGTATTAAAAAAATGTTGTATTTTTTAATCTAGCTGCACATCTTACAGGTATTTTTCTACGATTTTGTTACACCTGCTATGTATGTTTGTGGTTCCGGTACAAAATGTGTAATCGATTTTCGATAACTTTTATTTGTCCAAATGTTGGAAGTTTTCTTCCAATTTTTGGTCATATTAAAAGTTTTGTTATTCTGATGATGGAAAAAAATATTTTTTTTAATGCAGTTACATATATTAATAAAATTGTATTTTAAAAATTTTTATTTTCATCAATTTAATAATGATAATAATTTTGTACTGGTGGCTTTAGAAAAAAAATATATTTGGAATACTTTTATAAGCACCCCAATTAACATGGCTACCAAAAAAAAAAAAAAAAAAAAAAAAAAAAAGCAAAGAAAAAACGGAAGGTGAAAACCGCGAATTTAAAGTTGAGTGGACCGAGAATTTTGCGTTTATTCAAAACTTGAATGGACTTCCGACATGTCTTATTTGTAAGGAGAAATTCGCGCATAACAAGAAGTCAAATTTAGAGAGACACTTTACAAGAAAGCACGTGTCATTTAGCACTAAATATCCTAACGGTGATGCAAGGAAGAAAGCAGTTAATGAACTTCAGAAGAGTCAAGAGTCATCAACTTCTGTGTTTAATAACTGGATGCAATCTTCCAGCAATATTAATATGGCAAGTTTTGTAAGAGATTGCTAAGAGAGAAAAACTGTACACACACGGCGAATATATAAAAAATTGTTTTATAAATGCATCCGATGAGCTATTTCGGGATTTTATTAAGAACAAAGCAGATATTCTGAAAAGAATTAAAGAGTTACCATTGTCTGCCAAAACCATTAAAAATAGAACAATTAAAATGTGTTCGAATATAACCATCCAGCATATCGAAGATCTGAAATTGGTTTCGGCTTTATCAATAGCAATTGACGAGTCTTGTGATATAAATGATACAGCACAAGTTTCACTTTTTGTAAGATTTATGTCTCATTCAAGCCCTAAAGAAGAACTTTTAGGATTATTGTTACTCAAAGGTAAGACGCTTGGAGAAGATATCACCAATGCTATAATTGAGTGTATGGGTAAACATCATATTCCCCTCGATAAAATTGTGTCGATTTCAACAGATGGGACCAAAAGCATGACCGGTTAAGAAAAGGGGTTGTTGCTATTTTGAAAATAAAAATTGATTGCGAGATACTTGTTTACCATTATATCATTTACCAAGAAGCGCTTTGTGCGCAAACATTTCCGGAAGAAATTTGTAAAGTTATGGAATTAGTGATTACCATTATCAACTCCATTTTAGCTAAACCTCTTAATCATCGCCAATTCAAAGAATTTTTATTTGAAATGGAGAGTGAGTACGCTGATCTTCTGCTTTTTAACAAGGTATCTTGGTTATCAAGAGGGAACGTTTTAAAACGTTTTGCGTCCCTTTTTCCGTAAATTAAAGCATTTCTCCTTGATAAAGGCGTTCACTATCCAGGACTAACAGATAATTAGTATATCCAAAAATTGTATTTCATGGTAGACTTTAAGTCTCATCTAAATCAGCTTAATCGTAAACTACAAGGAAAAGGAAACTTAATTTTTTCGATGTTAAAAGAAGTAATAACATTCGAAAACAAATTATCCATTTTTGCACAGGATTTTGAAAGGGAAACATTGTTTCACTTTTCGAGCTTGCTGAAGCATCGGCAAGAAAATAATTCCTCTATTGATAAACACCATTTTAAAACAATAATTTTAAATATGAGGGAAGCATGTTCTTTCCATTTTCGGTTCTACATATATATGCGAACAATCGTTTTCAAGCATGAACATTATCAAGAGTAAACTGAGAAGTCGTCTTATTGACGAGAACTTAGAATCATGCCTAAAATTAGAAACAACAACATACTAACCTGACTTACTCAAACTTTCTAAGGAGATGCAAGCACATTGTTCGGATTAATAAATATTTATTAAGTATTAAATTTAGTTTTATTTAGTGTAATAAAAGTTTACTAAACAAGCAGATTTGCGTCCCAATTTTTATAAAAATTGTTGTAATGTTCATATTTGGCTCTTTGGCTAATAAGTTTGCCGACCACTGCACTAGGGGAAGAGTTTCCGCATTGCAGTTTACTGCACCGAAAAAATGACATCAGTTGAGAGGTATAAGTAATTGCTTTGAAGAGGGTTGTACTCAAAGTAAAATTAGGAATTTAAAGGACTATTGACAATTAAGTTGGCAATTTGTTAACAATTTTCCTTCATATTTTTATATTTTACATATATATATATATATTCATACGTAAAAATAATAATCCATATTACAGTTTCTTACGAAAATACTCTTAAAGAATTTAAAAATTCGACTTTCTTAATTTTCAAGCTAAGTTTGGGTTTACGAAACTAGCTGGTATGTAACTCGAAAAGATGCTGAAAGTTACTGAATTCAATTGGTTTAGTAAGTTTATGGATTTAGACTAATTCATCCCTAATTAAAATACTCACTTTCTATTCCTTCGAACTTTCAGTAAGCTATCCCATCCCTATCATTATGCAATTATGTGTTCAAATTAAATGGAAAAAAAACGATTTCGATTTTGTACTTTTAATATAATGAATAATGGAATTAGTTGATGAAATGTAGATAACAATAATATTAACAATTCAATTTCAACGATATACATTATAGTGATAAAAGCTTTAATTAGCAACTTCTGATGTTGCATTATGTTTTAGCTATTCACAATGCAAATCAAAAGGAAGTTTACGTCCTATAATAACAATATTTTTCTTCACAAATATCCCATATTTTAACGTTTCAATTAATAAACTGCTGTTGCCTGTAAAGGAGTTTTGAATGTATAGTAAACTGTTTACAGAATAATTGTATATTTTGTAGGAAAGTAGAATGCAGGTGCTTTCTTTTATTTTCGAAGATTAAAATATTCTTCCTTGTGATCTTTCTAAATAATTCTAATAGTGTCAAGAAATTTAATTTATTAATAGAAAAAAAGATTTTTCGATATTTTTTGTTGAACTTATTTTACAGAAGTGAAAACTAGTTGATATTGATTAACAGCAGATGGTCTAAGAAATCCCTCATAAGACATTTCCTTGCAATGCGTTGACATTTTTAATGAAATCATTGCCTCACTATAGCTGAATTTTACCTAACTTTGGATTTCTCATTAAAATTCTTATCTATGTTTCCTTCTTCATCATAAGCTCCACAGTCTGTTACGACCAATCTCCAAAGTTTCCTCCACCTGACCCCATTCTAGGTCACTCCCCTGACCCCAAATTAATAGTCTTACATCGGTTAGCTCCAGTTACCCTTAAATCTTGCTCGACATCATCTACCCATCTAGTGGGGGATCCATCTATCCACCCTTATAGTGACCTGGTATGAAAGAATAGACCCAATGTAGCTCATGCATGTCGTAAAATGGCAGTGTCTAGGGATATAGCTGAGCATCCTTGCCTCCAGGGCCTTTATAAATTTGGAATGCCTCGCCCTCCAGGTTGGGGGTTAAGCGCAAGGCCAATCCTTTTGCCTCGTAAAAACTTCTGATTCAGAAATCTCAAAAGGAATCTTCTACCGGAATCTATGTTTTAGAAATAAAAAAAATAAATAAAAAATAGCGTATTTTAGCTTATTTAAGGAGACACTTACCGAACTCCTTCAATATCAACCACAGATTTTCTACCACTGCAGGTGAGACTAGCATGAGTTGGAGCATCTGCTGTCAAGACGAAAGCTTTAAATCCAGCTTCCTCTGCTTTTCGCATAATGTCAGTAGTTAAAGTACGATCTTCAAATATATAAAGCTGCATCCAATAATGAGAAGTTGAATTTTGGATAATCGGTGCAAGATCTTCGATGAGAGTGGAAGAGAAGCTACTGAGAATCATAATTGTCTTCATGTCTTCAACAGCTAAAAACAGACGAAATAACTACATTAAATTTAATATTTTTTAGCTTAATAAAGCTAAGATGGATGATAAATTTTAATTTAAAAACTAAATATACAAATATATTGTAGAGACATTAGGTATTTTTTGGAAGCAGGCAAGATGAAAAATTAGCAATTGCCTTCGCCGGCAATTGAACCACGGACCTCTGGAATACCGGCCCAGTGTGCAAACTACTGCACCACGAAGGCTCGCTAGGAAAGCGGGAGAAATACCTTATAATATAAATAAACTAATGCATTTAAATGAGATGGTAAAAGATGCTTCAGAGCTTAATCACGTTTTTTCAAGTTTCTGGTTTATTTAGGAATCAGTTTCTCCAATAAGTATTTAATAAAGTTAAGTTACTGTTATCTTCTTAACCATTTACTTTGCAAGATACAGTTTCTTCATTCATTCATTCATTTATTCATCTCGTTCTAACACCATCCGCTTAAAGGAAAAGTACCAATGTTATTAGGGAAAAAAATTGGATTAAAATTTATTGAATATCAGCTTTGGTTTATCCATACTATTTCACTTAAAACTAAATTCTATCCCACTATTACTTTAATGAGACACATTCTAAAGTGTCTGATTCCAAAATGACATTTTCTAAAATGTCACATTCCAAGGCAAGTAAAAGTGACATATTTTAAAGTATATTCTAAAGTATTTGACTCTAGTTTCTAAAGTATCTGAAGTTTTTAAAGTATCTGAAGTATCTAGTTTCTAAAGTATCCGAAGTATCTTAGTTTCTGAAGTTTCTAAAAGTGAATGATTTTACAGATACTATGTAAAATACACTCATGTCCATAAATTAAGGATAATTCGAAGTCACGCGGAAATCGAAATCTAAAATAACTATATCACCTTTCAGAAAGTAACCAGATGACACCGATGGTACGTCACAATGACGAGAGTGTAAGAGAGTGATATATAAGGAATACAGGCAAAGAATAAAATTGTTCGCAGGCGCTTTATAAGCATTTCAGTGCAATAACCGAATAGTTATGACACAAAGGACGCATTTGGATGAATTTTTACGTGGTAGTATTATCGGCCGTCTGGAATCTCGGCGTACCCAACTGGAAGTATCAGACGAACTTGAAATTGCCCAGAGTGTCATCTCCAGGCTTTGCCAACGATTCCAAGATGATGGTAATATGAGTAGACGTTACAGCACAGGTCGCCCCAGAGTTACAACGCCGAATGAGGACCGGTATTTGGCAGTTACTGCCAAAACAAACAGGCGGAGCACAGCCTCAGACCTGACAGTGGGCTTGTGTGATGTTTTCCGACGAGTCCAGGTTTAGCTTGCAGTCTGATTCTCGCCGAACTTTCATATGGAGAGCTCCAGGTACCCGTTACCACCAAGAAAACATCATTGAACGACACCGTTACGGTGGTGCAGGACTGCTCGTTTGGGGTGGAAATATTCTGGGTTCGAGAACTAACCTGCATCTTCAAATTGGAACCATGACAAGCCATATCTATCGGGACGTCATTCTAGAACAACATGTATGTTTGCTTCGGGTCGCCATGGGCGCACAATTTGTGTTTATGAATGACAACGCCCGTCCTCACCGTGCAAACATCGTAAGCGAATGCCTTCAATCGGAGGATATCACCCGTATGGACTGGCCAACATTCTCACCGGACTTGAATCCAGTAGAGCACGTGTGGGACATGCTTGGCCGACGAGTTGCAGCCCGTCAACCTCCTCCTACATGTCTACCGGAACTTCGGAGAGCATCGCTTTTTGAGTGGTGTAGTATCCCCCAAGAACAGATCGATAATTTGATAGTCAGCATGCCTAGGCGTTGTACGGGATGTATTGCATCGTCTGGGAGACATACAATGTATTAACAATCATACCAACTATGTAATATTGGTTTTTTGTAAATAGGTTTTTTTTTTGTAATTTGCTCCAGGGAGACAAAATCGCTAATTTTTTTAATAATATCAAACCTATAGCATCTTTTTTTGCTCTTTACCTTTTGTTTAATAAATAAGCTTTACAAATAAGTCAAATTTGTTTTGCTTCTAACTCTTCCTTTGCCTGATTTTGCATTATCCTTAATTTATGGACATGAGTGTATGTAACCAAGCAACTGAAGAAGCTCCAGCTGGATAATTACCATAGCTAGGTGCTGCTGGTGACAGTGCACCATTTTAAAGGTGCCAGTATTTTTATGGAGGTGCCTCTTCAATATGGCAAAATAACAAAGCAATAATAATAACAATAAATAAATAAAATAAAAAATAAGCAGATGAAACCCCGTTTAAATGAATATGATAAATGTTAGTCTCACACTTCTTTACCCCCCCACGTACTAAAACGTATACATCCTAATATGTTTCTTACAGATTTAAAAAAGCATTACTGCTAAATTTACTCGTCGTTTACGCATCAAATTTATCTAAAGTAAGAATAATAAATTGCTTAAACCTTCAGCAATATGCCGATTTTATTTCATTATGTGAAAAATCTTGGTGTTCGGAGCAAATTTTAGAACTTTTACCGGTTATTATGTACACTGGAATTTGGTCTCCAGACGAGACGTTTCTCAAACGATTTAGCATTGTTGCATATAGCTGTGATATCACTGTGGGGAAAAGGATGGAAAGGAAGGTGAGACTTAAAACTAAATAGCGTTAAAATAAAATAGCAAAAAATTAATTAATTATTAAAATATAATTAGTAATTATAAAGCGAATCATAATTATTTCTAAATGCATATGAATATGTAACATAATATTAATAATAGAATAACTGAAGCGGCCATTTTGACTGTAAATAAATTTACATTATTTGGGTTTTTAAAAATTTTCTGTTTAACTATTTTGATATTGTTTTTACTTTTCCTGATTATATACCGAAATCACAAAATAATTTATTTGACCTAGTTTAAATGACTATTTTTTTATGTATAATTATATACAACTAGAATTACGGCTAGCAGTCACTTTGACTACACTTCTTCCGTGTCTAGTAAAAGTCTAACGCGGCATGATCTAATAGCATCTTGACGTCATTTGTTTGGGTTTTCTTTATATTTTCATGCCACATATTATTCGATAGCTTGTTGGAATAACAGTTAGACTATTTTAATTTCGTCCTCTACGGAATGGTAATGTTCCGAATGGGTTTCATGTCTTTTGTCTGTTTGCGTCCTTCGTGTCACTCAGCTCTTTTCATTTCCCTTGAAATTATTCAAATCGTGTTCAATCGTATTGTGTAAAACCTTTAGAAATCTATCTAAAAAAGAAATTGTAAAAGTTGTCCAAAAACTATTCGATGATAATTATGGTTCATAAATAAATTCTCTTGAGGAATCTAAACAGGAACGCATTCTATTTCATCTGAAAAAGACTCGATTATTCGAACTACAACAAGTGAACCCGATTCAACAAATGAGGACCCCATTACATCCTTAATACGAAAACTACCATAACGTTTCAGGTCTGCTTTCAATCAAAATTAAATCATTCCTCTTTTGCTCTTGCTCCAAAGGTATGGAACATCCTAATTGGGTTACAAGCCAGATGAAAATATTACAATTGATAAACATTTGTTTATCAATTGTAATATTACAATTGATAAACAAAGGCAATATGTCGTTTTATGATCGTTTTAGGATGCATATACCTAAAAACAAACCGATAAATTCGGAATAAAATTTAGCTTTGAGCTGATGCAAAACAAAGTACTTAGCAAATGAATATGTTATTTGGGGAAAGATAAAAGCTGAGAAGTTAAAGAAACTGTGGAACAGCATGCCGTTTATTGATTTCTTGAGCCCTTTTATAACACTGAAATAAAGGTTACCACGGACAATTTCTTCACTTATTTAAATTTTGTAAAAGATTTGAGAAATAAAGGAATTACCTATGTTGTAGTACAGTCAATAATTTCTTTCAAGAATACGAAAGATGAATTATTTTCTATCAAAATTATCAAGGATTGTATCATATCTCTCATATCATATCAAAGAAAAAAGATCACGACTCCCCTTCTTATATATTAATTTCGTCCAGCTCTAGAAGATATTTTAGGTGCGAAAAATCACCACAGTTTGTCAGTTTTTACAATGCAACCATTCGTGGAATAGATATTTTTGATCAAGTTCTTCGAAAATATTCCGTCAAGTCTTCAAGCTGATGTTGGCCAGTACATGTATCTCTTTAGCATCCTTGAATTATCTACGACAGACACATGATTCTGCATGGATAAGGAGACTACTGGTAAAAAAAGCATTAGTCGTTGTGATTTGATTTTAAATGTGGTCGAATAGTTAGGAGAAAATTATTTTTTATCAAACGAAGAAACTTCTTATTCCCATAAGAAGCCTAAAATTTGCTCCTGCTTTAAAAAACATTAACAATGTCTAATAAACATATTGTAAGAAACTAAAAATGTAAATGTTTGTGTAGCATTAATTGACTATGTGTGGCTTTCGCAGAGGGAGAATCACACTTTGTAGAGTCATTAAGTTATGTTGATGCGGTGACGTGAGATACGTGCATTGTCCTCCTCCTCAAGATTCGAACTCCAGGCGTCATAAATACGCATCGGTTTGCTTCCAGTTACACTAAACACACATGCGGAAAGGAAGGAGGGCGATTGGAGATTAGGAGACACGATTGCCAAATCGTGGTTACAGAATTTTTGGATGTGAAGAAATCGGCAGTGCTCTCGCCGGGATTCCAACTCAGGACCTCTCGAATACGCGTCGAGCATGCTTCCATTTACACCATGAAGACATGCGGAAAAGAGGGAGAAAATATTTTATAAGTTAATGGATCATTTAAGAAATTTCAAATGTAAATAATGTAAGTAATTTATTTCACTTTTATTCTATACACTCGTAGTTTATATGAAAAAATACGAAACAATATTTTATTCTACAAAAATTTAAATTAAAATAGACTAAAAAAAATTTAAAAGAATTTTAATTTCGTAATAAAAGTTTGATAAACTCAATTTATGATAAACTTAATTTAAAAAAAATAAACGTTACATTTTTCTCAATTAACTAAGCTGGGGAAAAAATGATCACATAATATGGTTAGAGATAAACAGAAAACACTGTAATGATAGTGCTAATCTTCCGAACTTCTTGCGACTTACCACTGTTACCTCTGCGTCAAGAAATGTACTTTGGGAAGCTCTGCTCTATATTAAATGGAAATCGCAATAGGTCTGAAATACAAATTTTATTCTAAACCCAGGAAATGGTTCACGCTTGCTAGAAGGCGATCGTTCTGTGCTGTATTGTTTATAATGTGAGCTAAAAACAGCATGTAGTATATTGCAATACAAACTCAATTTAAATCATGTATAATAACGCGAAATCTGTTAATCGTTATCACCATGTGCAATAAAAAATATAGTCATAACATAGTGTATTTGACATATGTCTCCATCCCTTAGTTTCACATAAAAGCTTATGATGATACAAATCAGTAAGTTTGCAAGATTTCTGACAGTTGAAATAATTGTAGCTTATTGATATTTTTGAATGAATATAACTTAGAAGAAAAAATAGGTGTCTGACTCATTTCGATAATGAACAAACACTATTAGAAATGAACAAATGCATCGAATCACCTGTCGCAGTAGCCATTTCACCTTCTGGATCCGCAAGTGTCTGGAGGGCAACAGGAGAAAGGGCTATAGGAAAATCCACCTCTTGACCAAGGACAGTTGTCTTCATGTCAATGCTTGTTAAACCTTGCAGCATCCTGGGTATGATTCTTATCCTTAATTGTAAAAATATAATTTATGGATTTCTGTAGAGACAGTAAGAACTAATTTAAACAAAAACAGTTCAAAACTTAATCCAGCTGTGTGCTAATAGCAACAAAAAGTGATAGAGATAATGCAAGATAAAATAAAATAAAAATTACGTTGGAATTCATGATATATTCCATTCAGAATAAACCACATGCAAAAACCAAATAGCGGGAGAACAGTGGTAAACTGCAAGAAATAAGGGGACAAAACATGTACAAACCAAAAACGAAAACAAATTTACATCTTTCGCTGCATCGTCATTAGAGGGTTGGTGCAGCGAAATGAGAACAGAAATAAAACAGCCTGTTTCTGAGCGGACAGAGACACAATTTAAAGTTTAAAAATAGTCTTAAATAATCTTATACTTAGAAAAATACTTAGTCTTAATAATCTAATACTTAGAAAAAACAAAAGCATATGCAAATATTTTAACCCAAAATTGAGAAAAAGAAAGTTACATGAAAATGTTTAAAAACATATGTTTTCAAAAATTTCCAGTTTGGGATTAAAACATTTGCATATGGTTTTGTTTTTCAAGTATGTTTTGTCCCAATGGCGGCTCTAGCCGTTTATAGGCATTGACCACTACTAGAGACACAAACGGAGGTCTCTTTATTGAGGAGGCACCTAACAGGTGGGCCAATGTTGCCTTCTGTAAAGGTACGGAGAAGTAATATCTGTGCCTTCTCCGGTATTCGATTTGGTTTGTTTAATTATGGCAAAGCATACTAGGGCTATCTGCCTAAGGGGAGGGACGCCTTCGTGGAGATCTTTCTAAGGGAAACTGGCTCGTATACACGTTACACATGATCCGGTATTCGGGACCAGACCGTTCGGTACGGCAGTTAAAATCATTAATTATTTTCCGGTCTCGGCGGCCTTTTTCAAGTATTGAATTATCATTTTACCTTCGGTATCTTCTGCTTCGATATTTTCTGATAATATGTGTATTTTTAACAAACTTGCCAACTAGGTTATAAAAAGGTAACTAATTTATTTTGCCTCTTTTTTTTTGGACAAAACTAATATACGAGTACACAGTTGGAGTCCATTTCTCTAATACAGTATAACTCGCATTTAACGAGCTCTGATTTAAAAAGAACTCGAATTTACCAGGAAATCGGAAATGCTTGATGTTAAGTCCATTTAGGCATTTAGGTCTATTTCACATCAGGTGTATAACTACTGTGAGTTTTGACTTGTTCAAAATCTGTACCGCCTATAAAGGCCATTCACCGTATTTAGATCATTAAGCTGCTACTGCATCTCGCCCGGAGGCGTGACATTAAAACAAGGTTCAATGATTCCATGGCAAAGTCAAGCTGTACATACGAAATTTAAGAAATTAGCACTTAGAAAAACAAAATCATCCAGTATTCAAGTTCATGCATGATGCATCCGGTCAGGAATGAGTCAGGATAATTACGCTGAGTAGCGTAAGGTTACTGAGAGAATTTTTGTAGCAGTCTAGCAGCGAATCAGAAGTAGAACCAAAGCGGTTGGCGTAGTGAGATCACATGAAACACAATTCTTTACCCATACTAATTAACTCAGAGTCTCTAGCCTGCTTCCAGGCATTAAGCCAATTTTGGCAATAACACAGACCTTGGTTAAATATGGTTAAATAGATCACAAAACACAATACTAAGATTAAAAATGAATAAAATTACCGCGCATTATGGTGAATTGACCGAGGTCTCTTCACTACGCTATCCACCGTAAGGTCATAATTTACGAGTTCTCTTAGCGTGTGCACTGGAGAATTATCCATTTTTTCAAGTTGTGCGCCTCCATGAGGATTTGTTTAGGAATGGGTTTTATTTTCAAGTCTGCGTGAATGATGTTATTTCGAACAAACCAGGGCGCGTTAGTGATGTTAAGTCCATGGAAGCATAACTTGTTTTAAACGAGCAAACCCAGGTATAGCGAGCAATATTTTTGTGACTCATAAAATTTCTATTGACTTCTAGCTCAGCTAATCCTTTCATGGAAGAATTCCTTTTCATTCCGAAGTCAATCAAAAGTTAGTCATGAGTCATAAATCCTGCCAACACGTGATGGCAGCCTTTTTATTCTTATCGGGTGCATGTGGGAGGACATTCTACGACGACCTTGAGAAGACGGAGGGACACGACGGAGGTTGCTAAATGGACGGAAGTTTACTCTACGTTGGAGACTTGTGGGGAGGTCATTGTTTGATCTGCAGTTATATTGTACGCTCGTCAAATTTTATCTTGCGATGTCGTAACGTAAAATTTTATCAGCTGACGAAAACGTAAGGATTTTGCGGAAGTTAGAAGATGGCGTAAAAAATTCCGAAATCTGCAAAAAATATTATTTATCTCCTTTTACTGCTTCAACACTGTTAAAAACAGGGGAAAGTTAATGGCTGCTTTCAATCAAAATAAGCATGCCAAAATAATAACATTTCAAGAAATGTGCTGATGAGGATTCAGACAGAGCTCTTTTATAGTCGATGAAGTTGCAGCATGGTGCAGATTTTCCTGTAACTTTAAATTGTTCAAAAAAAAATTTAATTGTTTAAACAAAATTGTTCCCCTTTTAATTGTTCAAACAAAAATTTAATTGTTCAGAAGTTTAGCTATTCTGAATTTGTGTGTTCAAATGGACGGCTTGATCGATTGAAGAATATACATAGACCTTTGGAAAAATCTGTGGTGAAACGAACTCTGCAAACATGGTGGATATAACGACATGGATGAGTGAAAAGTGGCGAGCCATTAGCGAAGGAATACACAAAAGATTACATTTATAATTTTCTACAACGTAACCTCACAGAAGACTTTAAGTCTTCTGTGACCCTTCAGGGTAAAACGTGCGTCGGAGGGAAGATCCCCAACATTGATTGACAGCTTTAGTGTGCTCTAATATGTCTCGCACAGACAAGAAGAAACTGTTGGTTATTAACAAATCCCAAAAGACTAGGTCTGAAAAGCTTCTTTTTGATTATGACCACTGCAGAAAGCCTGGATGACTTCGGACATTTTGACGGAACTAATTTCGAACTGGGAGAGGCAAATGAGGAAAGGAAAGCATAAGATTTTCCTTTTAAATTGATAAATGTAAAGCACATCCCAAAACCATTGTATTTACAAACATAAGGATTAACTTTTTACCACCGAATTCGGTATGTGTTATCCAGCCTATGGACCAATAGGTCATTGGAAGTTTTAAGTCAAACTTTCGTAAGCACTGATTTTGATGCTTCTCGATAGATAAGAAAAACATAGGAACAACTTCAAATGTTATTGTAAACGAACTCGAAGTGATATGTTTAATGAACGAATGATGCTTGGGAAAAGGTTAAATCAGCATCCATTACCAATTGCTTCTCTAAGTCTTGACTGACATTTCTCAAGAGTGGCAGATGACTTGGAAAATTTGGAACTGATTAAAGACGAGTTTGAAAATTATGTACCTGTTGACGCCATTGTTATCACTTTCGAGATACTTACTCCTGAGAACCTTGTAGCTGAAACTCAAGCTAAAGCAGATAAAGAAAGGATGACACGAAACGATAATGGTGACGACGGACGAATATGAAGAATTTAAAGTTGAACGACCCCAAGCATATTAAATGGCCTTTGAGTGTGCATAAAAACTTCAAACCTTTCTCGAAGCCAGAGATGCAAATTACGATGTTGTCCGGGCCATGAAACTTCTCTGAAGAACAGCAGCAGAAGAAAGGGACGATAAGACAGTTCAAAGCAAATGAACCCACCAATTTTTTTACTCAAATGTTTTACTCATAAGCAAACAAAAAAATCTATAAAGTAAGTTCATATAATAGAGTAGGTATGCGTGAATTTTTATGATTTTTTTCACGAGCCAGTTTTTACGATCACTCGTTTACAATGAGCAAAGAGTGCGGTGTCTTTGCGCTCGTTATAAGTGAGTTTGACTGTATTTTGTAAAATACTTTTTTCCCGCACACAGTTGGCTCATTTAAAAAAGCGGGGAATAGGGAAGCTCACATGAAAGTTAAAAGTATAAATTCTAATTATCAAATTTGTACACAATTTTAATCCCAGCATAATATTTGATTTTCTGAAACATTTAATCATTATGTAATCTTGTTGACTTCATCAAATAATAGAAATATAAACACTTCGACTGAAATACATTTTATGTTTTCTAAGTGGAATATGTTGAGAAAATCAAATTCAAGAGTAACAACTGAAGAGAAAAATCGTAAGGTAAGAAAATATATCTATAATACTATATTATGTTCATTAATATCGAAATCGTTTTTACCAATGAGTGCTATTTTATAAAGACTGTAAGAATGACTGTAATGTAGACAACAGGGTCTTGTATTTTCAGTCTGCGTTGGAAAATGCAGTCGAATACCAGTATAAAAGGAAAGGAGTGAATAGCATCTAATGAGACGTATTCTATTTATAAAAGTTTTCTGATTTCCATTGCAATTAATACAATCTTGCAGCTGAACATGGACGTCTCACGTAATGCAATAAAAAATAAGGACGTGCTTAAAGATAATCTTTGGTTTCACAAAATTTCACAATCTTTGGTTTTTGATGGTCCTACATCCTTCAGCGCAGTAAATGCGTAAGACGTGCACAGGCACAAATTTTATCTGCTCTTCATCCGTTTGATTTCTCATTCGAATTCACATATAATGGCTACAGCCTTTATTATGTGACTACAAGTGGACAAAGTAAATGCTACCAAGTTGAGTTGCGTTTAGGTCTTAAGAAAGATATTGTGCACGAAATTCGATTAGGTCGTTATGGTACGAAGTAGTCAAACGAAACTAAGTGCTATATTATTCTACACGTTTGTTCTAAGCAACATGTTATAGCTGAAATTTGCTAAACTGATACAGTCGTTATTTTACAAAGCAGTCAAGAAAAACTATCTACTGCGTTATTCTACATTTTTATTCTAGAATTATCTAGGCAGATAACCCTCGAGTGTTTTGCCAAGTTCAAACAAACCAACCCAAACAAAAATAATTGTTAAAGAATTATAATTACTTAAAAGCGAAATATGTACTACATTTCATTCTGTTATATGTAAATTAAATGAGAAGAATATTGAACGAGCAAGTAAGTAAATGTTAAATATACCTCCTAAAAGCTTTCATATTTTCCTGATACGTGATTCGTCGCCCTGATGCTCCTAGATAAAAGTTTCTGATAGGAAGATCAAGAAGCGCCGGTGCACATCTGTCCATATCATCTACAGTTAATGGATGCAATCTGCGTAACAGAAACAAACTTTTATGATCATAAATGTAGTTTTTAAGTATGAATGTGACCTTAATGTAATGTGATCCTTAACACAATATCTTTCATACAGCACAATGTAACAGAATACATGTAAAGTGTTTGGATACAAAAACATAATACATACATATTTTCCTAATATGATATCAGTTCTTTAATATAATGCTTAATATTCAGCAAATAAACACTATTTTTACCTTTATGACTCTTAAAAGTGGTCAAGTACATTAATGTGTTTAACACTATTATTCAACTCCCATTCTTTTCCTGATAAACATAAAGGCAATATGATGATTTTCTGATTTCCCAATGAACTTGAATTTGGGCTAAATTTCCTAAGAGAATCTCAGTGAAGGCATACTACCACTAAGCAAGCGGATCTCCCTTGCTTTGCAGTAATCCGTTTAGCGACAGTAATCCTTTTCGGGGTTTCGCACAGGGTTGCCGTTTCAATTGAAACATAGACAATTTCCTGTAAAACTTGCCTTTGCTATGACCTTAGTCTCAGGGCCAAACGCTTAAGCGTGTTCGCATTTTTTTTTTTACCTAAGTCTGCATTTGGACACGGTCAACTTTATGTTGCCTGTTTAAGAATTCGTGAAATAACGGAAGCAAAATTAAAAATAATGGATGTTCCTTTGCAAGGCGAGCTTAAAAATGATGGAAAGATCTACACAAGAAATGTTGTGTACAAAGAGATCTTTGGCATGTGAATTAACATTTCATTATTTAAATCAGCTTTATTGACTGAGCTAGCGGTCGCTCTTAAGAAATGTACCGCCAGTGGTTTCCTTCATTTCATTCTACTTTAAGCAATTAAGCAAGTAGAAGGGGGAAATCCCTTGGAGCAGTAAGCAAAGGGGTGTCTTCGCCGCCTGCCCTGGGTAATTCAGTTTAAATTAGCAGACACCTTTGCACAAATCCTTTTAATTACAATTTATAATATCTAGAACAGCGGTCATTTCGTATGACGGCCGGGCGTTTTAGTAATATTACAATCCATTATCTTTAAAGAATTAATATTAAAGTTTAAAGATGTTAAAAATTTAAAATTATAAAATATAAGAAAATTGTGGAATCTGATTAAATTTCATTTTAACACTTTTTTAACAGCTACTTTTGTTTCAAGAATAAGCCCAACAGAAATTGCATATATATATATAAAATCATATGTTTAAAATAAGCTGTTGGAAGTAGCAAACCCACACTGAAGGAAAAATATGCTATGATGCTATGTCATCCTAAATTAACGGCACGGAGAGACTTGCGCATGTGTGTAATTATTAAAAGACTTGCTTATCCAAGACGTAGTCGGACTTTTATTTCACATGAAGCTTGCATACGTATCTTGCAGCTGATATTTAATCTCTAATATTTACCTTTCTGTTTCACTAGGACACCAGATCTGCGAAACCAAAATAATAAATAGCTCGAACAGGATTTCTACATGGTGTTTCAAAACGGAATAATAGTTCTTGCTCGTATAAACAGAAATAAAACATGCACAGTGAAGTTTGCTGTTCTGAAACAGTAACATAATTATAAATGCAACAGCAGCAATCAAACTTGGATCATTGAATGATGTGGATGATGCATGGATCCACATCCTTGAATTACTGGATGATGCATGGATGCACTGCATGGCAATGATAAAATGTTCTTTAAGATTTAACAACGCGGTTTATCTTTGAAACAGCATATAAGAAGACCAGGATTAAGAGAACGGGACATCATGTAGATCGAAGATATTAATATATTTTTATATTATATTAATATATTATATTGTTAATCGACGATATTTACAATATCTATCTATGTATATATAAACACTATCAATGTTTTATAAATAAACGTATGTACTCATTCCAATATTTCAAAAACACCTGTCAACAGAACGAAAAGCCGTATCGTCAGGTTATGTGTAATTTTGGACCAAAAAGTACAAACATCAAATTTATGTGATGATCGAACATTAATGAGATGCACATATGCTTCACCCACTGAGAGATTTCTGTCTTTAGAAACAAATTTAAGAATATATTTGCAACATACTTGTGAAAAATTACAATAAATTAGTGGCGGGATGTGCACCCTGAAAAAAAAAAAAAAAAAAAAAAAAAAAAAAAAAAAAAAACTGATGTGTACACCACATGATTTTCTTCTTCCTTGTACAGAATATTAAATTATACGCATTTTACCTTGCATTTCATTTAAACTTATTGGATCGAATTAAATCTACTTCTTCGATAACTCATAAACCACAATAGAAGAAATGCACTCTTTAACATTTACTATATTTGTTTACCATAGCGACACTCTGGCGGTAGGTTTACTTATCAGCGTTATATTCCGTTCATATTATGACTCAGAATGCACAAAATTTATATCATTTGAAAAATTATCTAATCGTTGCCACATGTTCTATTCAAATACTATAATAAATCTATAACCATTTATAAAGGAAATTAACCAAACAAAACTAAAAAGAAACAATATTTCACAGACGAGATAATATTTCTCATTCAATTAATTCAGTTCTCACTTCGCGAAAAGGCTCAAAATATCCATATTAAAAATTTTGAAGTAAATCTTAAACACTTACTTCCTCAAAAAAATTCCAGAAAGGATTAAGCACATGATTTAATTCGCAATAATAAAGGAAGGCGTTATCTTTTTTGTTGCGAAGTTTAGTCTCTCTAGATTGACAACAAATCTACTATTCTACTGTTTCAAATGTAAACAAACATTTCCGCCATGTTATTTAAAATTAGGCTTAAACGCACTTAAACAGCTTTTAAATTATTGATAATTCTGCAAATATTGCTTGCAGATTTCCTAAAGGCATAGAAACCTTAACCGGAAGATAAGAACACCATAAGTCAATCATTTTTAAAGCAAAAAATGCACAATTTACAAAAATATAAGAGTAAAGAAACTGAGATCACTGAGCCGGGTGACAGAGTGGATATATATATATATATTTATATACGTTTAGTGCGGCCGATTGCAACCAAAATACTAGGTGCACATCTAACATGCTATAGCAGTCCTATATACAAAATTTCAACATTCTGAGGCTACTCTTTTTTTTTTTTTTTTTTTTTTTTTGAGTTATTCGAGATACATACGTACGTTCAAACACGACGAAAAATTCTCTTCAGAATTCATTTTAAAGCAGTTTTATAATTTCTTTAGAGCAAAAGAGGCTTTTAGTCTGTCCTTACGTATAATTGTCACACAAAAACATCGTTAAATTGCCTTCGATAGCGGTCAAAATGGATATTTTCGTGGAAATATGCTGCCTGAAACTTTTCGCTATTACAATACTTCCTTGTACGTACTTCGTACAAGGAAGTACAAAAAAGCACTCGTACAAAGTAAAAAAAAAAAAAAAAAAAAGTGGGGGACTGTTCTATATCTTCCGTTCTTCTAGGCCAGTTGACGAAATTTAACTCGCGTTTCTCATATCTTGAAACCTCAACTTAGGATATGTATTAGATTTATATATAGCATTTTATGACATAGGTATTATTCACAAAATGTGGATTTTTTTTTTAAATGACATGGCGATGATTTTTCATATTTCAATTCTACGACTCAAATTTATCTTGGCGTACGTTTTTCAGTTTGCGCAAGAATAATTCACTTGGCGAAATTCATATAAACCTATATATATATATATATATATAGGTAACCTATTTTTTTAGGTACTTCTTTCATTCTTTCATATGATTTTAACAAAACGGGCAAATCACATTTGGCGTTACTGTCAATTATAACGAATTTGTCAAATTTCAAAAGCGCCAATATATAAAATAACATATATCATGGGAAATTTTGAATAAAAATCTCTACCTTTTTAAGGCATGCTTAGAAATACATTTACTTTAATGTGATGGTAAAATGTTTATAAATTATAATTCAAAAATATTTTTGAAAAATACTAAAAAAAACTAAAAATGTTATCGAAAAATACTAAAAAGCTACTAAATTAATTTAAGCTAATAAATTAATTTTAAAAGTAAATCAGAAAATATCTGCCATTCCTATTTGGATTGAACTCAAATTTCGAACTGTAAAAGGAGGAATCAACTAAGGTTAATAAAAAAAAGAGGTAAGTAGCAAATTCATTTAACATTAAGGAGATAAAAGCTTAGAGCTAATTGTTTAAAAAATACGCGTGCGATTTTTAAGAAACTCAGTACTTCGGCATAACAGCAATTGGACTACTTTTAGAATCGAATTACGTAAAAAATTCGGTATGTCAATTATAAAATTTACAAAGTTACAAAATTATCGATTTTCTCTCAAAATACCTATGTGTGAACAAAGCTATGTATTCTAATACATATCCTAAGCCGAGAGAAGAACACAAATTTCGTCAATCCGCTTTAGTAAAACGGGAACTATAGAATTGTCTCTTTTTTTTAGTGTGCATTTACTGCAATGATGTTTTTTAATTTAAGATCAATATCATTTATTCTGAAAGGGTAAAATGTGTAATCGTTCCAATTGCTTAGGTTGATGAAGGAATGACACGTGGCATTGATTCTAATATTCAGAGCCCACCAGCGCCCGAGCGGTAAAGACGCTGAACGCTGGTTCTTCGGTCCGAGGTTCGAATCCCGCGAACGGGCTGGCTACATTGGCGTTTTCTTGGTTTTCCCCATGTGTAACGTGTATACGAGCCAGTTTCCCTTAGAAAGTCCTCCACGAAGGCATCCCTCCCTTTAGGCAGATAGCCCTCGTGTGCTTTGCCATAATTGAATAATCCCAATCCTAATCCCAATCTAATATTCAGATTTAATCGTCATACCATCATGTTATATAACATTGTTTAATAAATTTAACAAAATCTGTACTTACTTTTCAAGATCACAGTTTTTAGGCTCGAAATGTGTATCACAGGCTACCTGAGAAAATCAAATATCGCACTTAATAAACTTCATAATGCAAGACTTCATAACTTCAAACTGTAAAAACGCTTTAAAAATTTTAATAGCGTATATGGTAGTTACTTTAGATAGTTTCAAATTAAATGTCAAAATAACAAACCTTTTTAATAATGTTAAGTTTAAAATTAGACTGGTATCCTAGGGAAACAGAAAAAGTTAAAAAGCATAATTTAAAGAAATTGACCAAATGTTTAAACAGTTTTTTGATACCATTGAAAGGCTTTTATTCTTAGCACTTCATTTTCTTCGTTTTTCGAAATACGAATAACATATAAAACGTCAAAAAATAAATATAATGGAAAGTACTGTATATTTAACTATAAATTATTACAATTAGCATGCTTATATTGCCTTCAATACTTCCCGTACTCAATACATTTTATTGATGCATAAATCTTAGTATACAAGCGGACTTTTTTAAAACAGATATTATGAGATCAAGTTTCGGTATAAACCGAATACAGGGGTGGGACAAAAATATGGAAACACCTTTAAAAAAACATGTTTCTTTGCTTAATATGGTGTAGGAAACCCGTTGGCATCCAAAACAGCTTGCAGTCTTCTCGGAATGGATAAATACAGTTCCTGTATGTTTGCCAAGGGAATATTATACCATTCTTCCTGCAAAACGGTGGCAAGTTCAGATAACGATGTTGGCGGTGGATAACGAGAACGCACTTTCCGTTCCAATGTAGACCACAAAGGTTCGATAATATTCAGATCTGGTGACTGTGGTGGCCAGGGGAGATGGGACAACTCATCCTCGTGCTCAGAAACCAGTCCTGGACAATGTGAGCTGTGTGAACAGGGGCTTTGTCATCTTGGAAGACATCATCACCATCGGGGAACAAAGTTTGTACCATGGGATGAACTTGATCGGCCAAAATGTTCACATAAGTCTTGGCTGTCATGTGCCCTGACACAGTTATCATGGGGCTAGCAGAGAACCACGATATGGCTGCCCAAACCATAACAGAACCCCTGCCATGTTTCACTCTTGGCAACAAGCAGTCTGTATTATAGGCTTGAGATGGCGTTCTCCAGACGTAAACTCGGCCAGAAGTGGGAAACAATGTGAAAGAAGACTCGTCAGACCATATTACTTGCTTCCACTGCTCTATAGTCCAGGCTTTATGACTTAAACACCAGCTTTTCCTGTTACGGGCATTAGCATCACTGATGAGTGGCTTCTCAATTGCAGCACGGCCAGCAATTCCCTGTTTATGAAGCTCCATTCTACTTGTTTTGGTACTCACAGGGTTCGGTAACACAACATTAATTTCAGCAGTAACTTTTGCAGCTGTGGTCTTTTTATTTTTCGTCACAATTGCCCTTAATGATCGTCTGTCACGATCACTCAGGACACACTTTCGTCCGCGCTGTGATTTAGCATATGATGTTTTCACGCTTTTCAAATATGCGGAATAAATCTTCGATACAGTACCTCTTGAAACACTAAACACCTCAGCTACCTTGCTTACGGAAGAACCTACCATACGTGCTCCAACAATTTGCCCACGTTCGAAGTCTGTTAACTCTGACATAATGGAATGACAACCTCTCATAACAGTACTCCGACAACAACTGAACTGTTTAGCACATTTACGAAGTTCTATAGGTGGCGTCAGTAGTCAAAAACGCCAGCGCCACCTACATATTTCATTAAAATAAATCTTTCTTTTCAAACATGCATTTCACAAGGTGTTTCCATATTTTTGTCCATCCACTGTAGCTGACATATCCTGTAGCTTTAACCTTTCCCGATGTTTAAGAACTTCGCTCAATTTTACGATTGATAGCTTTCTCGTGAATGAGCTGAAAGTTATCATACTTATAGGTAAAAACAGAAGATATTATGTTATAGCAAAGATAGATTTAATTCCAACACTTGTTTCATGTATGTAAACTTAAATTTTCCTTTCCAGAAGGAACCAGAAGCAATTATAAATAATATAAATCTCTCTTTGAATACCTAAATACCATGTCTGTATATTCTTCTTCATATCTATTTTTTAAAATAAAAAACTAAGTTTTTGTATTACAATCATTTTACTGAAAAACTTTTAAATGTTTGCATTTCCGTAGGGTATTAATTTTTCTGCATAAAGGTTTTCTACTACTTCCCGGAATTTACATTAGTCAGGGAAAATATTACTTATTTTGTATTTAAAAATGCTTATTCTGTGACATTTAAAATGCTTTTAATTACGAAACCTGAATAGTTCTCTTAATTTCTCTTTGCAAAGAGCTGAAACTTAGCTTTCTTCTAAAACTTCTACAAGGTATCCCCCCCACCTTCTTACCATGCCTTCGTGGTGTAATTGTCACTCGGCGCGTATTCGAGAGGTCCGAGCTTCGAGTCCCGGTGAGGGCACTGCTCATTTTTCATGTCTCTCGGAATCAAAAATCTTAATGTCCCTACAGTGGCGCACGAACTAAAAACGGTTTTGGATGATGATTCTCCATCACCCTAATGTGGCGACTGGGTTACCTAATCCTCAGCCTCCCTTTGAAAGGGAAGCATATAACATATTTCTCCCGTCTTCTCAGCATGCCTTCGTGGTGTAGTGGTCTGCACACTAGGGTATTCTAGGGCTCCGAGGTTGGAGTCCAGGGAAAGGCGGGCATTGCTCATTTTTTATGTCTCCAGCTTCGAAATAATCTAATATCTTTACACTTCTTTTCAAACGCTAGTTTTAAAACATATATTTGACTACACGAGATGAGAGCTAAGGTCCAAAGTCATACGTTAATGCCAAACATTTTGCTTAGAATGTTTTAAATTTTTATCATCTTTTTCATCGAAACCATTCTAAAAGTATGTAAACAGCCTCTATTTATTACGAATTTATGTGAAAGTTTGAGTAAATCAAGCATGTGAAATTCAAAGGGTAACAGGGGCCAAATAAGCAAATTCTAAGTTTATGTGGACAGAAAAAAATGCCAGTTGTTAGAAAAACGTGATTTCATTTCGAAAATTAAAAGGTACAATGTTTTCTTCCCGATAGTTGGTATCTTTTCTTTGCCACTATCTTTCCTATCTCAGGAAAATCTTTTTCAAAACTGTCCCAAGATTTATGTCAGTAATTCCGGATCTGACAGAAGGCTAACCAAACACGGAAATAATGTCATGTGAGAATTCTTTGTATATATAGGAGTATATATTTATTACATAGGTGTATTTGATATATACAGAAGGATCCAGATATTGTACAACAGGAATGTCCCAGCTGCGGATTTGAAAGTCACCTTCAAATCAGCAGAGCATTAGAAAGCCACCTTTCTGATTATTATTGCGATACACATTATACAGCAAAAGGAAAAATAGTTTAGATTATGTTCAAGAAAAATGGGAAATTTTATCCTCAAAAATTGAATCACGCCGGTAAAAAAATAAACACATACTTTAAAGATAATAAAAAATACCTAACTGCAATGTCACGGGTCATAGCTTTTAAAAAAAATCAATAAGCATGTTTACATTCCTTAAAATACGCTCAATAATTCTTCTGCGTACTTTTGGAACAGCTTTTGTGGTTGAGCATAACTCAAAAAATGAAAAGGTAACAAATGTCTTATATGATTCTATCTATTTTGTTTTTATTATCATTCCCAGAGTGAATTTATAAATGTTTCAACTTTGAAGAATAGAAATTTTCAGTTTTTGAATCTGTTTACACGCACTATTATACTTTCTCATAAATCTCTAAAATTTACCGTACTAGAAAAGAATAACCCAATTAAAAAATTTAACTCTTTCCATCTCTCCAATTTTTAAAGATTTTTTTTTTCCGCTAACAAATCCATTTTCAGAAAATTTCGATTCGCACATGGGTATACTCAGTTAAACGCTTCTTCGAATATAGATTTCTGAAAATTGTCTTGTTGATAACAGAGGTAATTATGACAGGAAATGCTTCTGCGAAACATTGTTGACATAAATGAAATTTAAAAATTTTAAAAATCTGAAAGCTTTCATATTTTACATTACGTCTAAACGGGCTTTTTTTTAACGTTTTGTGTGTTACTTTCTTTATTAAATATCATGTTTTCGCATTTAAACCATAAAATTCAATTCAACAGCAATATCGAAAAATAATTTAAAAAGAGCGTATCTTAAGAAATTCCGATACGAAGTCTCGCGCGCTGATGATAAAAATGTTTCTTTTTTTTCCGTACTGTATTGCCATGGCTCGCTTTGAAATCGTTGAGTTTCTTAATCAAAAATATGAAACAGATAATAAAATGATAAATGCTTTACAAAGACTCATAACTGCTTTACAAAACATGAAACAGATAATAAAACAAATTCCAAATTTTTGCTTCCAGATGTCAATATTCGGGTCGAGACGTAAGTTATTCAAAATTTGATGATAGGTACGTTGTTTTTAATAGGTATGTTGTTTTATCACAACGCAAAAAACATCCGTACATTTATGCAGATTCTTCATTATTTAATTTCTTTAAATATATTACAAGGTGATAATAGTTGTGGCAACAATTTGAAAAGTTATTCAGACTTCTAAAATTTTCGAATTAAAATGCCAAAGTGAAGTTAACGCTTTGGTCTAAAAACAACTTTTACCTATTTAAAAAAAGCCTCTTAAAATTGTCTCTTAAAGAATGTGTCATGCCTCTGTCAATTTACATCTTTTAGCATAATTTACTAGCGTTTGGTAATGTTCAAACCTGCATGTAATACGTATTTGAAATCGCCCATGTTCACCTTATTTCTTTAAATCAAAACATGAAAATCAGATTTTAAGAATATTAATTTGTGCTTACTTCTCTTAAAGATATCTAACTAAATTAACATCATTTAATTTGATAGCATGACTTAGAATTACTATATGGGCAGGAATTGGTAAACAATCCGGTTATTCTAAATCCAGTTTTTTTACTCAGTTAAATAGTAGGGTAATGGTGCGTAGGTCGCATTTCCTAAAAAAAAAAAAAAAAAAAAAAAAAAAAAATGGGTATAAGTCATAGGACCTAGGAAAGAAACAAAAATTATGTAAGGTAATAATATCTTCCGCTGTCTTTGCTGATATTTATTATAATAACATTTCGCACATTCTACTCTGATGGCTAAAATTAATACAATTTTTTAACACGAACGTATTTACACGCCTAAACAAATTATTACACGAGCGAATTTATAAACTGAACTAGAACACTATTATTCGAAGTCCTACCATCTCTAGTTTAAACCGTACTACATTTTAAATTGGACAATTATAAACAATTATAACGAAAAGTTCTTTTCATCAATTAATTTACTTGTGCAAATAGTTACAACAATGACAGCAAAGATATTTTTTCATTTAAATGTCAGCTCCGGGACGTAGGTCTTGTACCCATCCTTGTATTTTAGGCACTGAATCATATTCTTTTAGCAGTGTTCTCACATATGTTATTCATATATTTACATTATACACGATGTGAATTTTTTTTTCAATGGCAGATTGCGAACAATTACAAATGGAACCTAGTTTATTAATCTATACAAGGCCAGATATGGTGGTCTCTTTATTATGGAGGCACCCAATAGGTAGGCCACCATCGCCTTTCCTATCAAGGGACGGACAGTTTACAACCATGCCTTTTCGGGTATTCGAACCCAGGCCCTTCGGTATCGCAGTCAGCTTCCCTGGCCGCTATACCGACTGGGCGGCACACGATGTGAAATAATATGGTTTACTAGGAGGTAACTAGTTTTGCCAGAAGAGGTGCAGTCGGCTACATATTACGTGTAATACTTTAAAGTTGCGACTTAAGTGGTGGTATGACTCACGCACTTTATTGATATTTAAAAGGTACAGAAGGACGTGCAGTTGAATAATTTCTTTTAATTAAAATAAAAATTAAAAAAAATAAAATCTGAAATTTGTTTAAATATTGTATTACGTTTTTTTCACCGGGGATTCAAAAAGGGATTTGAAAAGTGATACAGACAATCAAAGTCATGACGCAAAATACTGCTAGACATTGTAACGTCTTCGCATTGCTACGCTACCAACATAATACTAACAATAAATGTAAGCAGAAAGAAACCTCGCGCATAAAATATATGTGCTTGAAGATGCATGCGATGTTAATGTTAATGGAACGCTTTGAAATCATTGAGTTTGTTAATAAAAAATAGTTAAAGTTATACAAATTATGAAACAGATAATAATAAAAAAAAAAATCCAAATTCCAAATTTAGGCTTCCAGATGCCCATACTCAAGTGGAGTATTACGTTATTTGAAATTTTATGGCTCTAAGTAACGTTGTTTTTTCACAATGTCAGAAACATACATACATTCGTGCAGATTCTTCATTAATTAATTTCTTTAAATATAATTCAGGGCACTAATATTTGGTGGCATCTATTCAAAAAGTGATTCGCACTTTTATAGTGAAACACTACAAATTTCCAAAATGAAATTAATAGCCTGTCTGAGCTAACGCCCTTTGGGCTAATAAGCTTCAAAATTTCAAAAATGACATTACAAAACAGTTTAACACCTTACTTCATCCCATGCTGTCGCAGGACCATCCCACACTGAAGCGGTAACCACCATTACCAGCGATACTTCATAAAGTATAACTATGGATAACAACATCATGCTTGAATAGCAGGAGTGTACAAGCAACGTTAATGATCACCTTGGGTTAGAAACAGGACTTTAATACGGAACCCGAACGCTTCAAAAAGACAATTATATTTGCGGTCGTATCATTTTTCAACAGCAGCCTTGCATTACTTATTGAATCCGTGAACGCTTTTATTATATTTTTGACATACTTTCAACGATTATGTTACTTGAACATCCGAAAATCTTCTTATTTCAATTTCTAAAGAGTTGATAAACCTCATATCGCAACATCACACGATGGATTTTTCTTATCGCTGAATTTTATTTGAACTGCTGCCTACCTTCCGAGAGCTACACAGCAAAAAGTGAGCGTACATAGAGCAGGTGAAAGGAAATACTTATTAGATAATTTTGCCAATACATTCGAGTGATACGCTAATTATATAGATCCCAAAGTTATGCATGAAAAACAGATTAAGTTAAAAGCTTTTATATTGTTTAGTTATTCATAAACTGGACCTTGTTTTTAAGCATATACTTAAGTATAAAAAGCAACATGGTACTGTTCCGTTCGAGCGGCGTCAGTTAAAAATGTGCCACTTTTTTTGGCCGCCAATTCTTGCCAAGTGTTAAATTATATAATAATAATAGAATTCAAAAGAATAAAAAAAAAATGGTACTATTCTGTTTTGAGGGCCGTAAACAAATTGCAGCGAAAATGTATGCGCAAAGGCGCCAAATCTAGCTAACGTGCCCATTTAACAGCGCGCCAAATGTAGCGTACGCGCTGATTTCCGATTGCGTAAGTTTATATAGTTCTATATTTCTTAAGACGCCATTGAAATACTAGTTTAATTTTTAAATCCTTTTTTGATTTTTAATCCTTTTTTGATATCCTATGGATTTAACAATTTGGGAATTAGTCGGCAATAGAATTTTGGATAAAGTGCAGAATCAGCCACTGCTTGACGCGTTTTAAGAATTGCACATACTCGGTATCCATGTGCACATCGACCTATTTTGACTTAAAAAAATCCTAAAATTGCATAAAAATGGCACTGCGCACACCCTTGACTTTATCTATGTACACATCGAACTATTTTCACTTAAAAAGTTAAAGAAAATTGACAAAAATCCAATTGTTTTTACTATAGTAAAAAGCGGCAAACAAATGAGCGAGCGATTCTGCACTTTACCGAGAATATTTTCAAAGAAAAGGCATTATTCATTATAGAAAATTACGTTTGAACAACCAACGAGATGAAATTATGCTTTAGCGATAAGTCGGTAGCGAAATAGCGATTCAGGCATCCATTCAGTTATGTTCAGCAATTTTTATATAAATTATAATAATGATCTGAAATAGTTATTTACTCTTATGCTTCCATTCAGTCATGTTTAGCCTTTTTCATATAAATTAGAATAATAAAAAAGTATTATATGAAATTAACCTTTCATCTAAATTAAAACATCAATCTTAGATAGTTATTTACTATTATACTTCCTTTCTTGCCGGAATTATTAGGGTTGCCGCAATTATTTTTGGCAGCATTGGCATCAACAATAGTTTGACGATTTTTTACGACCCTCGAAACAGAATAGTACCAAAAAAAATAATTCTGTAAAAAGTAATTTTTTTAAATTTCTTAATTCTTAAAGAACATAAATTTTTCTTTTTTAATTTTGTAACTTAGAATATTCTATACATATATAAAAATATCAAAACAAAACGAAATGCAATCTAAACAGGTGGCATTTTGAGTTTTTGAATATCGTCGACAGCACATAAATTCTATTAAATATGATTCTAAATGGTGGCGAGCAGTGCCCAGCTAACGTTTATTTCTCCATTTAGCACTGCCCCACATTCACTCCACAATTTGGATATGGAATCCATTTTCGGGGTCTACAAAATTACAGCTGTGATTTACAATGAAATGAACATACCCAGCATTTCTTAGTTCTTCTTGCTTATATCCTTTCGAGCAGTCTGGAAATATAATACTGCCACCCGCGATGTTTTCTTGAATGGTAGCCATCAACGTTGTACCACAATGATCAGAAACGGCAACCAGAAAACATTCTGTACTTTCCCGACATAAACTCCCGAATACTCATTATTCCGGAAGCCGTTGATGAATGGTCCTTGCGGTCACTGAAGTACTAGTTGCACGTACAATCGATGGTAATCATGCATCTGGGGCTGTGAGTGCCGCTCTGACGATTGCTCGATCTTCACGTTCTGTCGTTTCTCTAAGCCTACCGCTTCCTTCTTGATGCTGTGCGCGGCCATGGTTCACCCATTCCTGCCAACATTATCTATTAGTGGCATCGCTCCTGCTCAAATGTCAAACTATTCGTCGATCAGCCCAACCGGCTTCTTTGAGCCCAACTACACTACCTCTCTCAAATTCTGACATGTGCCCATATAGTTCGCGCACATGTATGCAAGGCATAGTTACTGTCTACCAGAGTACATAGAATGAAATTCGCGAAGAATTTATGATCTGGAATCGTAATTTATCCTCTTAAATATCCTGTTCATTCATTGGCAGCCAAAATGCAAAATTTTGCACTTTCCGTCGAAACCCGATTTGTGTCCAATTTGCTTTATATCTTCTCATTGCGTCGTGGTGCGTCTTTATTTATTTATTTATTTATTTTTTGTCTAAGAGTGTATTATGCGAAACCTTTATCTTTGTGTCACAGCGTTTCTCGTATTTTAGCTTGTACGGTTTTTTTTTTAACAGCTGATGTGAAAAATGTGCAATGTCCTCCGCGGGACCGGAATCTGGACCTCTCGAATGCGGGTCGAATCTGTTTCCACGTACACTACAATGGTATCTCAAAAGGAGAGGGAAAAGACCTTATATACTCCCCCTTAAAGGACAAATGAGATTAAAGAGACCCGATGGATCGCCAAACCCTGGTGGTGACGAATTATCTTATGCCACCTTTTAGTTAGTGCGCGACTGTAAAATCGTTAGGACTTTTGATGAAGGAGACCCAAAAAATGTACAGTGCCCTCGCCAGAATTCGAACTATGGACTAATCAAATACGCGCTTAGTATAATTCCAATTACACCACGAAAGCAGGGAGAAAATACCTTATAACCTTATCAATATCAGTTATTTTGATGATAATAAAATTGTGGAATATGCTGTGTTTCTATAGCAAACACGGCTTACAGGATAAAAAATCGGTGTCTTTCAATCAAAGCAACGTTTTGTATTTTAATTGACATCCCAGGAATTTTAATAATAACGAAACTGGTTTGTTCTTTGCAAGAACGACTTGTGATCCGTTGTAGAGAAGATAATATATAAAGAATTCAGAGTTGTGTAAAACTCCTTGCCTATGCTTAAATTGCATGTACCTGGAGAGTATTAAGGCAGACGCAGAGCCTAATATTCTTAAATCACGACTAGTCGTAACTTCTTCCGCTTCAAATATCCATAAATCACGAATACATCCACGTCATCAAAAGTTCCTGGAAGAGAAACCTATTTGAGCTATCCCTAATGAAAGGGAAGTTATATATCTTAAATTTTTAAGGCGATGTAGCTGTCTCAAAAACATGCACATTTATAATAACTGTTGGTAACATTCAGAAAAATTATAGTGTACCTGTTTATTATTTTTCCCTTCGGAATTTTTTCTGAGTGAATTCAGTTAACTGTAGTGAATTTATAGATTAATAAATTTTGTTAAATGAGTTTTATCTTACCAGGATAAATACATCTGTAAACATTTTTAGCTTCTGTTGTATTAGCCTTTAGATTTAATGATGTAGGCTCGCTTTGCCATAATAAATTAAGTTTTAAAAATAATTATATTGGTAATAGAAAATTTTACGTAATACCTAAATCCAATTTTTCTTTATTTTTCCCAGGTTTCTTTAAAGATAAAATTAAATGTACTCAATATACACATTTAGCTATTTCATTTAGGCACCAAGAGACAATCAGCTGCCTCATTTAGATACCAAAAGACATTTAGCTACTATCTTTATAGGTAAAATTGAGAACATGTTTGAAAATCAGTTTCTTTTATGAAGGATTATTAGTTAAGTTTAAGCAAGTTTAGAGTCTATAATTGTTAGGACCAAAATGTATCAAATTTTCAGTTATAAGGTAAAGTTTGTCCAAACTCTAATAGCCTTGAATAATTAAAAATATATATATAAATTTTCTTCTGTCAACTTAATTTCTTTGTATGCACTTAGTTGAATGTTAGATAGTTTTATTTAAAAGTGTAAGTATAAAAATCATGATATCAGTTACCTTCACATTACATTTTAAAAAATCTGATGTACACACTACATGACTTCCTTGTACGAAATATTAAATTATACGCATACGATCATACGCGCATTTCTTCCTGGATTTCACTTAAACTTATTTCCTAGAATTTATAAGAGGTATATTTCTCATTCAATTAATTCAATTCTCACTTCGCAGCAAAACAAAAATACATAAAGCCTCAAAATACCTTCATTAGAAATTAAAAGATATAAAAAAATATAAAACACTAAATACAATTAAAATAATTAAAGAAACAATTTTTACAACTAAAATTACAGTTCCTACGCAAAAACAAGGAATTTGGCCAGCGGGCAACAAGGCAGATTTTTCGGTGCACAAAATTAAAAGATTTCTTTTGCTCCCACTCGGCAAAAAAGACTCTATAAGTACAGAAAGACTTAAATCACCATTCTGCTAAGTTTCAAATGTAAACAAATATGGCTGCTATGGTAAAAGAAAGGCTTAGCCGCATTTAAACAACATTTAAATTGTTGATCATTCTACAACTATTGCATGCAAATAATCTAAAAAGACATAAAAACCTTGAATGGAAAGATAAGAATAACATAATTCAATCATTTTTAAAACAACAAAATGCGCACTTTATCAATATATAAAGATAAAAAAGAGCTCCCTGAGCCGAGTAACATATGTATATATGTATATACGTTTGGTGCAGCCGATTGCAACCAAAATACGAGGTGCACAACTACATGTTATTGCAGCCTTATATAGAAAATTCTAACGTTCTAAGGCTGTTCGTTTTGACTTATGCGAGATACGTGTATACGTACGTACTAACGCCACGAAAAAAATCTCTTCTGAATTCATTTTGAATCAGTTTTATAATTCGTTTAG